CTAAATTTAACTTAAAACCAGGCAAAAACGCAAAATCCTAATTGATGCATACATCAAACAGTAAACAACAACAAACACCATGGCGTTCTTTTCACGTTTCGTTATTTTTTTGCAACAAAAAATAATTGTTCAAAAATAAAAGCTTACATACTAATTATCGTAAATTTCTATGTTAAATTTACAATTACGTATTAATTTGTGCTGTTTAATTCAATACTGTGAAAAATTTTTGAAATAACGCAAAAAAATACTGCAACAACCAAACGCTGTGCCTTCCTAACCTACAAAACCCGTTTCCTATCACTTATTTTCGAATATTTCAATAATTTTTATTATCAAAACTACGAGTTTCCTAAAGCTAATATTTTAGGATTAGACTGCTAACTATGTAATCTATTCACCATATTAATTTCAACTCTCAACTCGTGCTATGGTAATGTACAGTTGAGCCTTATTCTGATTCCGTAAAACTAATAATGAAAAAAAAAAAAAAATTACTAAAAAAACTGACTTCAAAAGTCATTGATCCCTTAGTTTGCCACCCTCAGAGGTGGAATATTTTCTTCAAATTTAAATGGGACCACTACTGAGTGGTCCTATTTTTGAAGTCGTTTAATAAAAAATGAAGTTTAGAGTAAATATATATTTTTATAATATATTTTTCCTGTTTTAATAATAAATATTTATAATTTTTGAGTTCTACACAACTGACAGGCATCATCGCCATAATTTTTATATTATCTCATGACAACTCACACTGGTCCACATCTAGTAACCGCCATTTAAGGAAAATAATAAGCACTGCTTCTTTGTTTTACTACTTATGTTTTTTCTAATCCTAAAAAACTAAGTATAGTGCCCACAGTGCTAGGACACCAAGGCTACCAATCAGTCATTTTATGAATTTTCTTAAAGCATTTATGTTAAAACTCTTTTAATATAGCAAATACCCTTTGCTTACGTACTTGGGAATGAGTCTTACCTTGTATTGCAATTCATACTATTCAGTAGGTTTTTCCTTAATTAAAGTGTGTACTAGTAGAGGACATCGTAAAACTCATAATTATGTAATACAGGTCATCAATAAAAGTATACTGCGCATAATATATAATGTACATAATGTGTACCACATTATGTATAATATATATAACTTGTTATACATAGCAAACGGTGATTATCAGATGTTTTGTCTTAAATATGAAACAAAAACTATACTGTAGCAAAGTTTTATACATTGATGTATGTATTCATGAAAAAAATCTTCAATCCCTTGTATATCTTTTGAAGTGGTGGTCCCACCAAGATACTTTCTGCACTAACTTCTTCAGCAACCGTGGTCCACAATTGGCACATACTACTGGAAGATATGGATCTGCAGTTTCTGTCAAAGCCTTAAAAAACAAACTTGACAACTTGTTAACAAAGAGTGAATCAGTGCTATGAAAAGTTAACAAACTATAAGACAGACTATCAATTTAAAAACTGTAATGTAAAAGTAACAGAAAAAGTCTTTTCATCTATGAATAAATAAACTATCAAATTTTGTGTTAACAGTGTTATCTTGTATCATGTATAATACTTAATAGTTTATATCTTCTAGCTGATGCAAGATTATACATTTTTATTATATTTAACCTAGGCAAAAAAAAGAGCGATCATCAATTAAGGTATGCTGTGCATAATTGTACCAATTGTATGAATAGGTATATTTATAATTATGTATTAATACAAAGATTTTTTGTGAAATTTCTCCACTACTTTGTTATAATTATTAATACAAAGATCTAACACTTAGAAAAAATCCTATTTTATATTCCTAAGCAATGCTTAGTTATCATAGCATCTGGCGCTGTATGCTAGGAGACGTCGGTTCGAATCCGTCCGGATTGAAGGAATTTTTTTCTAAGTTTTCGATCTTTGTATCAATAATTATAACAAACTAGTGGAGATATCTCACAAAAAATAATTGAATATCAATTCAGTACAAATGTAATAAATTAGGTAAATCCTTGACAAAATTCGACTAATCATAACTGACAGCCTTCGTGGTTCAGTGATTAGCACAGTGGCTCTAGATGTGGAGGTCACGGGTTCGACAGGACAGTTTTAGGTAGAAAACTTTTCTAAGGTCTCATTATCCTGAGTAGTGCCCCAGAGATAATTTTGTGTAAATTTAAACTTCTTCCATAGCCGAGCGGTCATGCTAAACTGCAGAAGTGCTGAGTTCGATTCCCAGGCTGCGAGAAATATTTGTATATATATGTTTTTATTATTATATATGTATTTCTACTTGTGAGTTAGGGTGTATACTATGTGTGGTGTGTATATCATCAAACAGGCATTAATGTCACTTGCATCTTTCTGTCAACAATACTACACATTGTAATGTTTATTATTTTGACAATAAAAAATGTTTTTAAAATCGACAATGTTTATAAATTCATTACATTACGTCTAGCGGAATTTCTTCATTGCGTACTAAATAATATAGTAAATATTGTATCATCATATTACTCTTGAATACATTGTTAAGAAGCACTCTTACAATGGATGCCATATATGGGTACTCACGCGATGCTACTCTTAGACTCAGAACGAGACGGCGTGACGAATTGGACGGCGTATATGAGGTCTAGGCCTGTAGCGGCGTTAAATCGCGAATAGTGGAAAAAGGGAAGGGAGGCTTTTACCTTGCAGTGGAACAGTAATGGTTGAAAAATGAAAGTGAAATTAAATTACTCTTGCGTCGTCGCCGTCGTCGTTAATAATTAAAAACAAAGATCTGCAATAAGCATATAGAACAAGAAAACGTAAGATCAGCTGGTTCGTTCCATAGCTTAGATGGGAAAGTGTCACGGTATGCTGAAGGCGCTGGTTCGAAACCAGCCAGATCGAATTCAATTTTCTTAGTTCTCTGTTCAACCTTTATATTAATAATTGTACAATTTGTTAAATTGTAAAAGGCAGTGATCTTCTAGTAACCTTCTAATGATATGTAATCTTCTAATGCTCGTTTACTATGTAGAAGGTTCCTGGGTTGGATGTTAATCGAAATTATGGAGGATTTGATTTCCATTCGAGCGCCTGCACCATTTGGTCTTTTCATATTGTGTGCTCTTTAGTTTTCTGATTATCTCGCTGTTTTTCGGGAATAATGACCCAAATCATAATAATATATTTTAAAATAGTATTCTCAGGGTGACAGGCGCAGTGGCAGTGCTCCTCAGATCTTTGCGATTTGAAGCTCTGAGTGGCACTGCAACTGTTATAGACAGGCGCGTAGCTTACCTGCAAGCACACGACTTGCTCGTCCCGTCACTTGATATTATAAGAAAATAATTTCACCAGCACTCTTGCTTACCCTTCAAAACCGAAACGCAATAAAGCTCACATTAATGCTTGGCGACCGAAATAAGAAAGGTGGCAGTAGTGTGCTCTCGTCCAGGGATGTACTTATTTCTTCACAGAAGTTTTACTGCTACTAGAATGTGTTTATAATTGAAAAAAAAAAACATTTAGTTAAATATTTGTCAGTCTAAAATTATTTCTAGAACCATTCAAGTAATTAATAATGCTTTATTTTAATTAATAGAAAACAGGTTTGGAGGAGTTCGTCGCCCTTTTGTAGAAGATAATATCGTAGCTATGTTTTAGCGTCTTAACAATAATAGTGCTAACTTTTTATTTCTTAATTAAATATTTACTTCTAAACCCACAAACATTTGCAGGTCCACGTTGGGCGTCATGGAACCTGGGCATCTTCCTCTGCATCCGCTGCGCTGGCATCCACCGCAACCTGGGCGTGCATATCTCCAAGGTCAAGAGTGTCAATCTCGATTCCTGGACGCCAGAACAAGTGGTTAGTGCACGCCGTCTCTTTAGAAGTTCGTTCATACCTGATGCTTTAGGGGCGTTGTTAGTGTGAAACATTGAGTATATAACCAGAAATAGAGACGAAATGTCATTTAATTTGTTTGAAAACTATTCTGCCATATCATTACTGTGACAACTGCGTTTCGATTGACCAGTGCGAATTCGAAACAATCGGGACGTCAATTGTTTCACTTCAAACCAACCAGTTTAACTTAAGCTTTGCTATAATGGACGAAAATTGAAATGAGATTATTTAATATTTAATTACCGATGAAATGTGATTTCGTTTGTTTTGTAATAGATGTTTTGCCGTTTTTCCCACACCACCGAATGGAACAGCCCCTATTGTTAGAGATATTATCTTTATTACAATAAATACAGAATATTTTTGGAATATACGGAGAAGTACACATAGGTCAATTGTTGGCGCTGTACTATTTCAGCTTTCTCATTTGTGATTTCAGCTCAAACGAGAGTTGATATTTAAAAGTGATATAAGGCCCATTTACCTGATGAGTTGCCAGGGATACATGGCCCTTATTTTGTCTTTATTTCTGGTTATATATATATATTCGATGATCAGAGGGTAGCATTGGGTAAGGAGATGCCTCGTGGCAGAATTTACAGCCTCTATTTTGTCTCTGTCCAATATTTGACATGAGCTTGTTCAAGCCACAATGCCTTGTTAAGGCTTTAGTCAGCATTTTGACGGAACGAACAAGTCGTGCGTCTGATGGTAAGCGACACGCCAATCCATAACACTTGCAGCGTGACTTAGAGCTTTAAATCGCAAATATCTGTGGGCACTGCCACTGCGCCCGTCACCCTTTTAGTTTAGTACCAGTAGAGCTCTGTGTGAAAGAGTTCATCCAGGGAAGTACTGCCACCTTACCTATTTTTGCCGCCAAACAATAATGTGAGCATTACTGTGTTCCAGTTTTGAAGGGCTGCTGGTGAAATTACAGGCAGAAGGAACTTGTCAACCGAGGTTCACAGGCGCAGTGGCAGTGCCCCTACTATCTTTGCAATTTAAAGCTCTAAGTGGCACTGCAACTGTTATGAACAGGCGTGTCGTTTACCATCAGGCGCACGACTTGTTCGTCCCATCACTTACATAAGTTGACAAGTCCCTCAAATTTATGGCGAGGTATTTAAACGCGAGGCAAGATTTTAGGAATATTTAATTGAGGTGTGTGTGGGGTCGGTCGCCCATTCGCGTCCCGCAATCCGCGCACTTTAAATTAATATCAATGAAACTTATTTTATTTACTATATTTATTTTATTAAATGCTTCCGTGGCCGAACGCTTATCATGCCGGACTGTAACGCAGAGGTCCCAGGTTCGATTCCCGGGCCGGGAGAAATAGTTGTATGGCCTACAATTATTTCTCTCGTGAGTTTGGGTGTAATTTGTGGTTGTCTATATGTGTGTCCATGGCACCCGCGACCCAGGGTTCCCTAGTGCGGGGCTATGTTGAGTGTGTGCGTTATTGATATTACTTTAAAGATTGATTTTCTTATTTTAAAGAAAATTTGACTCAGATCGGACGTCGACAAGCGCTCGATGGCGACTGACGAAGCGGCGGGCGGCGTTGCGTGTCGTTAAACCGCTGGGCAATTTTACTTTAGTTGAAAACCAAAGTTTAGCAGGTTCTCTGCAGTGCTTTAAAAAAAATTACGTGCATAGTTAGATATTTTATTCTTAAATAACTCGTTTGACTTTCATTTAATTCTGTTTTTATGATTTTATATGATCAGGTAAAGTGCGTCCTATCGTGTAACAAATGAGCACAGACAATTAAGACAACATACTTAGGTGAATTGTATATTTTTTGTAAGACCGTTATTCAATAGTAAATACCTAAACCATAAAACAAAAAAAAAGCTGTGGTACCTAACGGTTTGACCTACTGCCTCTCAAACAGAGGGTCGTGGGTTCGAATTCGGGCTCGCAACTCTGAGTTTCTCGGAATTTATGTGCGAAATTGTAATTTGAAATTTACCGTGAGCTTTTCGATGAAGAAAAACATCGTGGTGAAACCTGCACGTCGAAGAAGGTTCACTACCCTCGGAAAACGTGTGAAGTCCCCAACCCGCATTGGGCCAGTGTGGCGGACTAACTGCCGTCACTAACGAAAACGCGGTGTGAATGAAAAAAGTGACAAATGGTTAAGTAACCGTTTTAAATAAAGCAAAAAATAGAGCACAAAATTCTCTTTTAAAAACAGACTGAGGGCCTACTGAGGGACTGGGGTCAGTGCACATTCACCACGACGCCGCCTGGATCGGAACTTACCCTAACGATGCAAAGCTGAAATATCATTAAACAATTTCAATATTCTGAAAACGGGGTTATGGTTTTTATGATATCTCAAAATATTTGTTTGTCACTTAGCCGCGTTATAGCGGACGGCAGCTATGGCCTAAACCCTCGTCTGAAAGGAGACCCGTGCCCAGCAGTGGGACGTATTAATGGATTGATAACGATGATGACCTAAATCATTTGATCTAGCAAAACAGGTTACCTATCAGTAGTCCGAAATGACATTTACCAGAAATAACGTTTGGTCGAAATTTCATAGCCTCGAAAGTAATTTTGAGAGGAAAATGTTTTTTCCGTTAAACCCTAACCTAGCCGAACTTAATCATGTCTTTGCGATAAACATTCAACATATCCAGAAAGAACAACTGTTTCGATATAATTCGGTTTTCGGTGTAATGAAAATTCGAACAAACGATATTTCGGACAAAAAATTTTCGACTTTGTGATAGGTTACCAGCAAAACAGTGTTTCACGCTTTCCGATGACTCATATTAACAATTGTTATCCTTGAAATTGAACAAAATAACATTTACCGCGTTTAAATCAATGACTTATTAAATCCATATGTGCACGCACATGTGAGTAAATGTATAAAATAACATCAATATGTTTGGCCGGATACAGTGAAACTGTAGGTATTTTGTTACATGTTAACTCTACGTTAAGTTCTACATATACAACTTGTTTTCACAAATAAAAGAATTATTAATCCTTTTCATCAAAATCGTATCGACGCCTTACTTTCTAAAACTCGTATCTTATAAAGAGCAAAACTTTCTATTTATTTCTTTTCAAGCATGTTTTAATTTGAATGCATTACTTTAAGAATAGGTAAAAGCTAGCGTGTAAATATGAAGGAAATAGCGTGTAAATGTGATGTGAAATCAGCCTGCAAACTATATACAATCCATTTTTTTGCAAGTTTGCGCTTTAAGGTACGAGACATGAGTTTGAGAAAATAAGGCGACGATATATTACGTCCCATAATGTCGTAAGTGACGATATTACATAATGCATGAAAACAATGTTTTTTGCTACGCGTTATAAATTATGTGAGTCAGGCTTTATCGTTATCATGGTTATTAGAAATTGTTATTTTCTTAATTGTAGTTTTCGTGAAAATATACTAGGCCATCATAAAATAGGTGATTACGTCGTCAATTTACGTCATACACTGAAATATGCGGATTTAGTATTAGATTGGTAAACCGTGGCGCATCCACAAGGGTACCTTTCACTATGAAGTAATCTGTTATTATCGCGGTTCAAATTAAACTGGTCAAATTGAACGTGAAATAATGTAACTGTAGACAAAAAAAATGCGCCGATTACCATCTACCGTATTCTGGAGTTAATAAGGTTGTTATTTGTATATAACTATTTTTTTTCATTCTACATCATTGACCTGGTCAATGTTCTACATATATTTATTAGACGTAGTATTTTAATCATTGTACGGCATTTTTCTTAGAAGCATTATAGAAAAGACACATCGAAGGTTAATTTCTTTTTGTTATTTTATTCGGACAACGTAATAAAAAAAATAAAATAACGCACACACACACATTCAACATAGCCCCGCACTAGGGAAACCCTGTGTCGCGGGTGCCATACACACACATAGACCACAAATTACACCCAATCTCACGAAAGAAAAAAATGTAGGCCATACAAATATTTCTCCCGGCCCGGGAATCGAACCTGGGACCTCTACGTGGCAGTACTACCTCCATTCGGCCACAGAGGCATTTAAAAAGGTCTACAATGTTGTTTATCACATAACATACGCTATAATTTCATAATTAACATTCATTTTCAACATCAACATCAAAGGACAATCTAGGAAATGATAACGTAGCTATCATCTTCAAGATGCTGTGACTGCTGCCCCGTACTGTATTTGAGCCTATCAGTGCTAAAGTGGTGTAACCCATTAATTTTTTTTTAATATTACTTTGAATGATACTAAATAAAAAAAATAAATAAATAAAAATAATTCATTAGAGACAATTTACAACAGTCCATTTTGTTAGTACACTTACAAGCTATCTATTCTACAAATAAAAGTTACAGAATAAAAATAAAGAAAATAAAATTAATGAATGACTGAAATGATTACATGATACCGGCTAAGTTTACCCAGGACGTGAAGTCCGGTAAACCTAGCAAACAGATCGGAGTCCCACCTATCACTTATCATTTTAAAAGCTCTGTTTGAGCTCTCTCGCACTCTGAGAAGGCAGGGTGCCACCTTTTTTTGCATTATTGTGTAAAAATCCTCTACAATAGAGTCGGCAAACAAACCCGACGCACTGCAATAGCGAGGAAGCCCGAACAAAGCCCAGAACACATTATTATACAAAATGCGTAGGGAGTTGTAGGCCATCTGAGTAAAACTGACCTAGTCTACTTGTGTAGAATGTATGGCAGTGTGCTTTAAAAAGCGTTATTTTGACATCAGCTGTACAACGAGCAAACCTACGAGCCAGCATATTGCCCCGAACTGACAAAGCCTTGCATTCCCTTTCTATGTCTATGTTGTCATATAAGTTTTGCGTGACTATGTGCCCAAGGTATTTAAATTAAATGAAAACTAAAGTACTTAATTATTTTATATTTGGTTATATTTTCATGTATAAAAAATAAATAATTAAACATTTTTTATACATGGAAATAGCATCCTAATATAAAATAATTATGTACTTTAGTGTGGCTTGGCAACTGGCAGTGGCTCGAGTCCACACAGCCATAATAAAATCGCAATCACACTATCATTCAATGTTATACCTCAATAAATATGTTATTTAAGGTGTCTCTGCAACAAATGGGTAACTCCCGCGCGCGTGCAGTGTATGAAGCCAACCTTCCCGACTCGTTCCGTCGGCCGCAGAACGACTCCGCCCTCGAAGCTTTCATCCGCGCAAAATATGAGCACAAGAAGTACATTGCCAAGGAGTGGGTGCCGCAACCGCCACCTAAAGTTAACTGGTTAGTACGATAACTTATTATTAATTTTCTTAGCAGCAGAGCTCCTTGAGAAAGAGTTCGTTCAGAGAACTACTGCCTTACCTAGGAATTTGTGGAAATTTTAATATTAATATTACTTTTCATATCTCCGAGTACTCTTCTTCGTAGCCTTTCTAAATATACATTTTTACTTTGATTTATTACACTAAAACATATTCACAATCGAAATTTTCACTTAAAGTTACAAATATATATTCAAATCCGCACATGCACTTACATATTGAATAGGTTACTTTAGATGCACTATTCACACTTTATTACATTGTTATTGTATTGAACAATTTCCATCCTAATCGTTTATTAGATCTTTCATTGCAAATAACTTCTAGATTTAGTACCTCGTTTAGTTCTCGTTGGTTCTGACTGAAAACGAGCACCTTAGGGAATTTAGGCATATTTTTTATAATATCAAATGACGGGACGAACAAGTCGTGCGCCTGATGGTTAAGCTACACGCCTGTCCGTAATAATTCTCAATTCTTTAAACCGCAAAGATCTGGGGCGCACTGCCACTGCGCCCATCACTGCTGACATTACTTCTTAGCGGCAGAAATTGCTAAGGCGGCAGTACTTCCCAGGACGAACTCTTTCACAATTAGCTCTACTGCTATATAAATGGCATACGCTGAGTCAGCGCCATTTCACTTCTATGACAATAAATGTTTAATTTTGTATTTATGTTGTATTCAATCTGTATTTGTGTCATACAAGCGAATAAAGTGTTTATCTGTCTATCTACCTACCTGTTTCTGCCGCCAAACAGTACCGTGAGCATTACTGTATTCCGGTTATGAAGGATAAGGGTGCTGGTGAAATTACAGGTACATGGAACTTGTCAAGTTATGTCTCAAGGTGACGAGCGCAGTGGCAGTGCCTCTCAGATCTTTGCGATTTAAAGCGTAACATCACTAGTTTGTTATAATTTTTGAATATAATCAAAAATTTTTTTTAGACTACATTATCAACATTTCAAATATCATAAATATTATTTATCATATTCATACATAAGTAGATTGTAAATGGTTTTACTATATTTTAGGGACAAAGAAATAGACGAGGAGATCGAGAGACAGAAGCGCAAGAAGAAGACAACTACGTCAGGATTAGGCCCGCTACCTACGCCCACCATCAGTGACAAGAAATATAATGTAAGTCATATAGTCTCAAACCTACTACTAAAATCAAAATTCCCTAGTTTAATATGTAATACTATAATGTAGGCAAATAAAAATTAATAATAAAACGAACATGACAAATCGACACCAGCAATTAACTCTACGTTCATTACATGCTCATCATAGAATATACAATATATGTATATGATTATTATTTTTGTATTATTTTCTTAATTTTGAATTTAATTATATTAGCTGAATAAGGCATTTGTCCTTAGAGAATGGAAAAAAATAAAAGAAAGGAGATGCCCTAACTATTATCGACCTGAAAACATTGAATTAAAGTAGATCAATATTCCATTTGGGAATATTTTAGGTTATATGGGAATATCCGGGAATGTCACATGAAATTTTGAATTTATTGTTTTGCGTTTATAAATACTCAAATATTACGAAAAGTGTATTTGCACAGAAAAAATATAATTTGAGAGTATATAAAAAAGAGAAAACTTTGAAATATAAATAAAAGGAGATCTCCTATGCATTTCCAACCTAAAGGTTCATATTTTCATAGAGAAATTTTTAAACAGTTTCCAAATAGTGTAAGCTTTTTTGTATTTATGCATTGGTATAGAATTAATATCAGTGACTGAGTTAAGTGAATCTTTAATACTTCCATTTAATTTTGGAAATAAATGAAAGTAGTAATATTATCAATAATAATATTATTATCATAAATTTATTTGCTTAAAACATGGTATAACAGGAGATGTAACAAGAGACAGTGTAGTATAAACATGTTTCGCATATTTTAAATAGCATACAAATGTTTGATTATACAATGTCAATTGACTACTATTGGCCGAGAGCCTTTGATTTGTGCAGAAAAATCGACATTTCTCCGAAGTGAGACAAGTAGTCTTCACGTCATGTCATGTAAATGGACACGGTTGGCATTTAAGATGACGTTACGTATTTTCGATTCCCGTTTTTGACACAGATCAATGTAATGCTATCTCTTTTAGCTTGAGACGGTACGCAATATTTAAACAAAGACAATAAGATGTTTATGTTTTCAACGTCGAAATGCATCGTATACATATAACGTCTGATTTATATATGTCAACATAACATGTCCTTTAGTTTCCATAGTCTAAGCATTTGTCGTTACATCAGGGTATTTTTATTATCGAGATAAATAACTATGAGTTTCACGCCTGGGAATATTCAGATATAACGACAAGTAATTCTTAATATATATAGTGTCAGATAAAGGTTGAGAGATTCTATTCTACTGGTAATTCTTTTCTTACACATCCTCAATTCTAACGGGGATTCTTCCCCTTACATGCCCCCATAACCACCCCTTACAGCTTGCCCGTACCACACAATACGAGCCACCTCGCATTTTTGTCGTTAAGGGCTAGAATACAAAAATAGTGTTATCATCGAAGAAAAAGTTTTCCCCCGGTTTTGCAAATCCAAATTCCTAACCAGAACTTATGGAAAAGAAGTTTGGTATAATAGTTTTAAAACTGCATAATAGTTTTTGATTCCATCGAGTCACCGCCGCAGAATCTCATGATTAAGGATCACTGACGGTTTCAAAACAACTTGTTGAGCAAAAATTCGACTTCCGAAAAATTCGTAAAATTCGAAAAATTCCGTAAGGGCGCGTTCCCATTATGTCGTAACGTTTTATTTATTGAAAGACGATTGTAGCGTCTAGCCTGTTCCTATATCACGACTATATGCCGTGGCTGTGTCGTGGACATTTATTTTATCGTTGAACGACTGTCGTGACTAATTATTCCCACTAGACCGTAACGACAATTTATCGGTTCACGGCAGCCGCATTGTCATTTGCACGACAGAATCGTTTGAAGCTGCGATTATCTGTCGTCACATTTTTATTGTGACGTTTTATTTATCGTCAGACGACTGTCGTTCTAGCTCTTCTTATTGTCGCGACAGTCTGTTGTCGTAACGTCAAAAAAGTCGTGATCGACAGTTAACTGTGTTGTTCTATGTGTGAACAACTTCATTTAAATATTTTGTACCTACCTTGTTCCCACGACACTTTACACTGCACGTCTATCTGTCGCCGCGGCATAATGGGAACGCGCCCTAAGTTTTGTTGATTTGCCTTCAAAAGTGACTACACGGATGTTTTAACATCGAAATAGAGTAAAATTTCCTGCATGAACTTGTTTTGGGCCACTACTTCGAATGAACCTGTAAAACTAAACATCCGTCACGTCATTTTAGACATATTTTTATATTTTAGTGTTCTATATCTTGGCTTTAAAGTTGTCTTTAATATTTTTCCAGAAATCGGACGTAATACCAAGTTTACCCAAACCAAAATCATCAGTAAGTCCAAAACTTGGTCGTAGCACTCCAACAAACCAAACAGAAGCTAAGCCATCCAATGGTTCAGCAGATTTGCTTGGTCTCGATACCTCTAAACCAGAATCGAAGAACGACGACATATTCTCCAGCTTCTTCTCTGCGGAGAAACCACCAGAACCCAAACCTGAGGAACAAAAACCAGACCTGAAAACAGAGGAGGAAAATTTCTTCAATCAACCCGCACCATCGGAAAAGGAGAAATCAAAACTAACCAAGGATAGTATATTAGCTTTGTACAGTCAAGCACCAGGTTCGAATTTAGGTAACCAATTTGGTCAACCATCTTATTCATTTGGGACATACCAGACACCGAGTGCTCAGTACAACAATATGAGCCAAAATATACCAATACAACAAAGTATGCAGAATATGCCCATGCAAAATGGTGTGCAGTTCAACCAGTTTCAAGGAATGAATCAGTTTCAACAACCGTTTGGCATGCAACAACCAATGCAGCAGCCTTTACAAGGTCAATTTCAAAGTCAGCAATTCTTTAACCAACCCTCGGCACCGGTCAGCAATCAACAGTTAAATCAGCCGTTAAGTCAGCAATTTGGTGGCTTGAACTTAGGACAGAATTTTCCAAACGCGTTCGCACCGAGTAACGTAGCTAGTAACACTACGTGGCAATAGCGAGTTCAAAGAAACGTGGAAATATATTTTTTTGTTCCTGAGTAACATTATTATACAACCAAATGCTCACGAAGTGTTCGGTAGCGGCAATAGTGTGATATTGATAGTTATTATAAATTTGCCGGCTTATATGAGAACTGAACGCTGTATACATACAGCATATAACATAGGGCTTATGGTACACTGGTTGACTGTAGTATTCATTGCATTGACAATTTAAAGATACCTGTCGAATGTATTTGGATGGTCTTCTAGGAAAATTCAGCAACCAATATAAAATGAGCTTTGTGCTAGTTCAATGCATTTGTGAATACGGTTCTCTGTGTTAAGTACGGTTGTATGGTATATTTAGGTACAGTAATAAACATATTATTTGGTTATTTAACAAGTTGTAACGCATTATTCTTAGGCAATACGTGTCTTTCATTGTAAAAGTGGTGTACATAATTCCATATTTAAAAAAAATATTTTTTGCTAAATGGTATCATATTTCATCATAATTACCTTTCATTATAAACCAAATATTATACCTTCGATTTGTATTATTTATTTATTGAAACTTACTTGCACACAAAACAGTACAAACGGCGGACTTAATGCCACTAGGCATTCTCTACCAGTCAACCAGAGAGCTGGGTTCAAAATAATTAACAGGAGAGCATAACATGATAATTAAAACAGATACGAACAGGTAATTATGATATATAGTTTAAACATAATATAAATATAACATATAATATTATATGACTAACTATATACTTATATAATATAAGCAACCTATATACACATAAATACATGACATATACACATACACATATATATTTGATATACGTATTTATATATAACAATGTGAGACTAATGGGATATAGATTGAGACTCTAACATGAAATCGTGGACTAATTGCTAGAAAGCTAGCTTATTCGGCGCTTTTTGAATATGTACTAAACAATGAAAAACTAAAAACACTAAATGAACACTTGTATTTTTTTTGCTATTCATTAATTAATTTGTAAAAAGATCGTTATTTCAAAATTTAATTACAAGGAGGTAATTGACTATTACAATGAACGACACATATGTATAACTCATCGAACAACTGTCGTAAACTGCTGTTGTTGGTTTGCTGCTATTCTGCTGTTGCGAATGCGTCGTGCGAACAAGCAAGTATGCAATTGGACGATGTTACGATTATTATCTTTCAGTGCCGAACTTGAAAGTTCTCATTGTCATTTTATATTTTATTGTTATTTATCTCATTGTTTGTTGATTATGTGCTTTATGCAATTGGAATAATATTGATTTTAAAATTCGATATCAACAGACAGTTTTTTTACTTAGTTTCATGTGCGAGATATTTTCACAATATACGTTAACAAAGCAACCTCTACTGATAATGATATTTTAATTATAGGATTAATACATGGATGGCCCTACTGTACTTAAATATACTGTGATAATTTAATTTCTTCAGAAAAAAAGCAGTAAAATATTTAAAAAATCTTCCTTCACGCCCCCTGTGCAACGAGATTGGACAATTATATATATATTATATACTAATTTTAATCTTATTTTCTGTTTATATTTCTGTACATACAGTTTTATAATAACAGTTTTTTTTAACAATTAATTCTTTGCACTTTTCGAACGAGTTATTTTTATAGTTATGCACAGTCTGTTCTTCTTTTAGAAATTGTATGTGGAGGACATTATTATTTTTTGTATAGTTCGACGTTTAAAGAAGGTTGATGGGTTGGACCCATGGGAATTTTAAAAATACTGACAACTTGAATATGATATCAAATATCTCTCACCACTGTTCCAGGGTCCAATAGGCACTCGTCAACCTCTGAATAATAGTTACTCACGTCTGTATATTTCTTTCAATGCAAAAAGAACACAATTGTGTTTTATTTAGTCTCAATTTACATTGCCGCGGAACAGAATGGAAGCATTTGTATAATGAAATAGTACATAGCATAATGAACTTCATGTCAATTGTGTAACATGCAAACTAGATACAAGCCTAAAAACAGGTAGTGCGTCTTCCGGAGATTCGCGTGCAGAGATGGGCAGTGGATTAAAACACAATTAACCAGCCCGGGTATTAACCGGGTTTTTAACCAAAACCCGTAAAATTCTATACTTGTTACAAATTTCGAAGTGAAAAAATATTTTTTCACGAAATAGAAATAACTCCGCACAATACCCACCTTGCAGTCTTGTAGATTCTCACTGTTAATTACATACATCATGATTCAAATTTTATGAAAACCGATTCATGTCTAAACGATCATTAACAATTTTTTGGATCAATTTTTTTTTTATTTCAATCGATTCAATAGAACAGCAAATCGAATCGTCTAGCTCTGTGCCTCTACCACGAGATTACTATGACAGTTGTTGTTAGTGACCGCGTAAATGACTTCACAGTTTTGTATGTTTAAATTATACAGCGCCCCAAGCGGTCACAAGCAGAAACAACATTTTATATACAAATATTTTACGCGGTCGCTAGCTATAACTGTCACTGTAATCTCAAGGTAGGGATCACGTAGAGGCACACAAAGCAATAAACTTTAGTAATAATGTCATTCTATTTGAACAAAGTCTTGATTTACAACATATTCAATTGTAAATAGCTTTTGTCCTCGATTTCTGGCGTTAATGGGTTTTAACCCGATTTAAACCCGACGACAAAGCGCCGGATTAAAACCCGGGCGCTTGCCCATCTCTGTTTACGCGCACAGTCTCGAGATTTCCCGCAGCTACCGTCTCGTATCTTGTTCGTACGTTACACAATAGTCATAAGGTTCATTATGTTATGTACAATTTCGTTAACAAAATTCCGTTTCGCGGCTATGTAAATATGGTGGTAACCATGTATAAAGAAAAATTTAATCCAAATGTTATTTTGTTTAAAAAAAGTCTATGAAAATATTTGTCTGATAAAAATCTTCTAAGTAGTTAATTTTACATTTTATATGTATGGAGAAAGATGCTATTAACGAGTATTATTTTATTTTTGTATATCGGTAATTATCGTTAGTTTTTATCTTATTTTTATTAATAAAATTATTTTTATGACTTGGCATTTGTATCTTAATGTTCTTTTGTAATTTATGTGTGTTTAAATTGAAGTCTTGGTTAAGGCGATTTTGTTTTAGTTTACAAATGTAGATACACATCTTCAGTTCATCTACACCACAATAGAACCAACAACTTATCTATGGTTATGAATGATTCGCGTCATTGCATGAATGCAGTATTGCTGGTAATTTAAGCTATTAATATACACCGTAAAATATCTTGTTAGAATGACATATTGCACATGAAAGTTCAAAAATTTACTAAATGAAACATATAAATATATTTTTTCTTTTGTAAATAAAAATAAGCACCTTATCCGCAATAAGATTTGTTCAGTATTTTTTTTTTTTTCAAATCGTGTTGTCTCAATTCCACAATTCTTAAGTTACGACAGTATTTTGGTCTCATGTGCGACATCTCAGTTTCATGAGCCAGTGAGGTGACACGTTCAGTGAAATCAACAATCGATGTTAAAATATATAGACTGAAGTATGGTATATTTAAATCTGTATTTTAATAACGTTGCAATGACTATGAATCATGAATAGAGTCCACCCCAGGAATAATGGCGATTGTACGTGTTTTCGGCGTGTACCGTTACAAACTTTTTTCCGCCAGACGTAACATCGGCGAGTGAAGTTGTGAAAATAAATAAAGTAACATTTCTCAGTGAATTAAATTGATTTAGCAATTTAATTATGCCCATGAGTCGTAACGTAAACAATATGTAAAATAATTCTTGTTTTATGGTATTTAAAAAAATATAAGTACGTTATTACAAATTTACATCGTCATTATTTTGCCGACCTGTCATTCTAATCAACTTCCATTTTATGGATTATAGTTACAGTTAAATTTTACAACTTGGTAGCGTTCCTTTCTTTCATATCATAGATAAATTAGCGGTACTATTGTAATAAGATTACAATGTCGTAATTCACAGACTTTATTATCTTAATAGTAATGTTATATTTGTCATTGTATGCTCTCAAAACATGGACAATACAAACAAAATCACTTAAACTGTTGTTGGTCGCAAAAGACTGATTTTCTTGACGTTATTTTGAACAGGGCCGAGTATGGACATCACAAATTAAAAATGTATTTATAAATTTGAATGGATATGTACAGGTTGACAAGTTAAAGATGGACCCTCGCTCTGTTGGAATTTTTAAGTACTATTATTAACATAGACAGTGATATCCAAAGTCAATAGTGGCGCCACCATTGCAGAGTCCACTAGTAACTTGACAACACAACAGCTTTTTGTTTTAAGCTTTTGTACTACTGCGTCCTGCAACGAAATCAACTACCTCACCCCGCCCCCAGATGTATCAAGCCTCGAATCGAGCGAAGTTCGCTGCCGCTACGACGACAGTGCTAATCTCTTACTGATTCAAAAAACTACCTAACGATTTAGGTTGTGATGAAAGGAATATATTTTAGTTTCAAAAAACCTTTGCACAGATAAAAAAAAATTGAAATTACCTGGTGCCTAAATGAAACAGCGATAAGACTACGCTAATGTGCTTGACATTGGTATAAATACATTTTTGGAAGGTGCAAAGTAGTACACTTTTATTGAAGCCAAGAATCATTTTGTGACTAAAGAAAGTGACTGGAATGCTCTCCGCGAAAAGAAAAGGAAGAAAAAAGTAGAATACGCAGGTTTTCATAAGCTGATGACATCTGTGCCAGGGATGTATTCAGTTATGGGCATGGTTATTGTATTTAGAAGGACGAAAATTCTCGTACATTGCTCCTGTCGTCCAAATTAATTCTGCCTTGTTTTCCGGTACGAATTATTCGCATTTTAAGGATTCGTTTCTTATGTATATTCCATTTACGTTTTACTTTTCGGCGCGTTGTATGTTGTTGTGACTATTCAAGCTTAGTTGAAATTTTAAAAATTTATCCTCGGTCATCCCATGTTCGTGTATATTTTTGTTATCTTAAACAACCCATTAAGCATGTGAATGACAGGTGTGATCTCATTTACGCAAGCTGTAGCAAAATAATGCCCTATATACCAAAAACAACGACGAGCTTAAGTCCTTGAGGGGCGATCGAATTTCATGTTTGACTGTAAAGTAATAAATAACGAAACATTTTTTTTTATTTCTCAACGAAAAGTTCTTTTTTGTGCATTTCATAGGGGCCACTAATCATAGTAGTCCATGGCGCAAAATTTGAGATACGCTCCTGTCGTTTGTCTCTTCTCCCGTCGTTTCGCCTTCTGTTCTCAGTACCCTCTTTCCCGTATCCTCTTTAAGTCTTGTCTCCTGTTCTGACATGTAGCGTGATAATGTGACATAATAGTAATTTACAATGTCCAATGGTGTTATTAATTCGTTGTCGCGTTTTGCTGTACTTAGTTACGATAGAGTAAGTGAATTAAGATAAAATATTTGATAGTATCGTGCGAGTAGTCGGACAGCGAGAGCGGTCATATTGGCCGCTAGAGTCCCTGATTTGAAACATGTAATTTTATTCACACAAATAAAATATGCCAATAGTAGTTTTGATTGTTTTTCTGTCGCCGTTGTCCCTTTATTATTGATACAAGATCCTACAAACACAATTTTTCCTTCAATCCAATTGGACTCGAACAGAGTTTGTTGCCTCAACTTAGCCATGTTGAAGACATTGACTGGTTCGAATTTATACTCTATACAATGATAAATTCCTTTGCTCAGATTAGTCCGATCGAAGGAATTGTTCTTTGTATTTGTTCGATCATTGTATCAATAATAATAGCTATAGAGTATGTTTCCACAAATGAGATAAATATGTAGTATAGGTATATAGTAAAAACATCATAGTCAATAACAATAAGTATTGTCTTTATCCCTGTTCTAATTTGTTAGTCGGAATTCTATAGGAGATACCGCTTAGAATAGAACTATAAGTGGAAGGCCTATGCCCTATACCCAGTTCGCATAATTGCGCCAGTCAGATTAACTACTGCGCATAAGCATTATAGATTTTATTCTCGTTTTGACGCTTTATGCCATAAACATAAAATGCTAACGAATCTCAGATTCGTAAATTGCCAGATTAGCAAACTGCCAGATTCTCAAAATGCCAAATGCCACTGCCAGGAACAGGCCTTCCTTCTCCTGACGCACGAACTAATGTCCAGCTGTAAAGTTAGCAGGTTTCATTATGATAGAAAGATCAGTTATTTAGTAGTTAGAGGAAACTATTTTTGTTTTTAATAAATTAATGAAACATCGAACCTCTCTTCATTATCATCATTATTTCAGCTGAATGACGTCCACTACTGAACATTAGTTTGTGAGTCAGGAAGAGGAAGGCCTGTTCCTGGCAGTGACATTTGGCATTTTGAGAATCTGGCGTTTTGCGTATCTGGCATTCTGCGAAACTGGCATAATGCGAAGCTGGCATTCTCCGAATATGGCGTATTGTTAATCTGACATTCTGCCCGTTTGGCATTTTGCGTTTCTGGCATAGCGTCAAAACTTCCTTTTTTTCCATCCTATAAGGTAAAAACGGTTATTCTATGGGCCGACAAGTTAAAAGTGGTCAAGACAGGAAATGGACATTGCAGGCGCAAGTGTTGTGACTTACGAGTATATTGGCCTTGACGCTGTAGTAGATGTTCAGTCGTTTCGTTTAGATCATAAACATCGAGTATATCTTAAAGCATCGTGGACTTGGATATTATTTTTATTGCGCTTATTTGCGACGCAGAAGGAGAGAAAAGGAAAAGATTTTTGCTGTTATACAATACCAATTGACCACATTCCTCTCCATGCGTCATTATAATCAATCTCGTCTATGGAAGCTTGCGCTCGATTCGCTGGAAGAACAATTCTGTAATCAGCCAGTCTAAACACTTTATTTATATCATTGCGCACATTTCTACTCTATTAATGAAACAAAACGCAAATTCAGGATACTGACATACTTTGCTTTTACATTGTGGAAACCAAACGCATAAAGTAGAATGTAAATGAATGGGGATTCGCGGTATTTATGCAGGGTTTATAGATTATCTCAGTATTATAATTAATTTAACTAACTTGCAGTTGAAAATAATGGAATTCAGGTAAGTTGTAATATAAAAGATCATTAAAATTTGTGTTAATTATTGCTGTTTTTTATGATAAAAATATTGACTGAACTAACCAAACTTTTATTTTGGCGCGCGCAGCCATATTGACGGAACAGCTGTTGATGAAACGTTTAGCGTTCTGTGTTGTTTTTATCATTTTTCATCGAAAAAAATAGTTAAAGTTTAATTCTTTCCGTGAAAACTTTGTGAAAATGCTGTGGGAATATAATTTACCAAGTGATTTGGACTAAAGTGTTAATTTCGAAATGTATTTATAATAATAAGACATTGCGATGGCTAGCGTAATGCGATTCGAAGACAGTGATCTTCCTTCGGAAGAAATGGAATTCCAAGCGAAATGGGGCAGATTCGCCGACTGGTTGCACTGCATTTGTGTTGTTACTTTCGACTTGGAGCTTGGGCAGGCGATGGAGAGCGTCTACCCGCCTGGCGTGAAATTGACAGATCAAGAGAAGTGTAACATTTGCTATTTGGCGTTCCCGGACTCAAATTCAGGATGCATGGGAGACACTCAGTTTCACGTACGTCTCCGTTCCCGCAGCCCCCTTAGCCCGCAACAATTAACCTACAACGACGACGCGGTACCTACTCTGCGGGCGGATTCCACGCATTACTGGGGCTTCGTCCATTTCAGACAGGTCAAGGACCCCTCGTTACCCCGAGGATATTTCCAGAAGAGTATAATATTGCTTACAAGGTTACCATTTATCAATTTGTTTTACAAAGTCATTCAACTTATTGCACCTAAGCATTTTGAGGATGGTTCTAGCAGTTTAGAGGCTGCCTGCCATGACATCAACAGGTGGCCAGCTCTGGAATCTGGGCAGAATGTGTTGTTACCTGTTTTGGGAACTGTCTATCAGTCATACATACCTAATCAGCAAACTGGTAAGATTACAAGATCAGATATTGCCAAACATGTGCAGTCCAGTGTACCACACATTCTAGCCTCTATTCAAGATGTCAATGTATTTGACGCTCTTTCCAGTTTGATATCCCATCTACATCTTTTATGGGAGTTGGTATTAACAGCAGAACCTATAGTGGTGATGGCCAGCTCACCAACAGAATGCTCAGCCTTAGTCCAAGCATTGACATATTTAATCCAACCTCTTCCATATGCAGCTGAATACAGGCCATACTTCACAATACACGACAGTGAGTTTAAAGAATTTACTAGAAAGCAATTCAACCCACCTTGCGTCATTTTGGGTGTAACAAATCCATTCTTCACGAAAACATTGCAACATTGGCCGCACACTATTAAACTGGGTGACTCTGCTACAATTAAAAGTAAATTACGTAAAGTTGGTAATATTAAGCTTTTGGACACTGCTCCTGGTGTTTACACTCAATATAAACCTTTTTTAGAGAAAGACAAGGCAATTATTAAAAAACTACACAATGGCATTCGCACAGATCGGCCTTCTGAAGTACAAACAGCAATGGTGAAACGACACTTGCTAGAGTTGACTCAAAGTTTCATGATTCCATTAGAAAGGTATATGGCATCACTAATGCCTTTACAGAAGAACATTTCCCCCTTCCGAGCTCCACCTATCCCAAACCCGTTTAACCCAGAAGATTTCTTTGCCACACTGCAGCAAGCAGGACCTCATCTAACAACAGGTATAAAAGGGGACTGGATTGGTCTGTACAGAAACTTCTTTAAAACCCCTAACTTCAGTGCATGGTTCCATGAGAGACATAGCAGTTTGACAAATAAACTTCACGCATTGCAATTGGAGGCATTAGCTGAGAGTGATTTGAAGAAATGGTCAGTTGGGAAGAAAGAAGTAGAGATTGTGGATATGGTATTGAAACTTCGAGAAGTTTTAAAAAGTAATCCTCCAGTAGCGGATAATACTCGTACACTGCTAGCTAGACGTCTGGAGGATTTGAATTATGTTTTGCCGGAAGATATGAAATCAATATTAAATGCTGCCACGTGACATCAGAATGGCTGCGCCTCAAAACTGAGAGGTTGCAGCAAAGACTGCAAAATTCAGTTGAGATTTGACTATAAGTCTATAGCTTGCGTTTAATATACTCATTGATTTGAACTGTATGCAATGTGATTCAAGTTTTAGTAGCTTGTTATTGTATATTTTAGTGTTTACTTAATTTTGACTCTGTTTTGGGTAATACTTACTAGATTAGCATAGCCAAAACATCTTCATAAATATCATACTAGTGCCATTAGGTCTATAATTATGTTACATATTGCTCACTGCTGCTGTATATATTTTTACCTCGCAAGGTTTCTTATGATAAATTTTCAAGGTGACTTATCAGTCTCCTTGCCTAAACAGATATGTCAATGTAATGTTTACAAATGTTGTTTATACATTGATAATTTTTGTCAAGAATGTTTTCACAGTTTCATTGTGATTGAATACTATTTGAACTTATATTGCTAAGTCATTTTGGCATATTCTTCTCATCTGCGGGCTTAGTATAAGCATGAAGACCAAAACAATTGTCTTTAAAATGGCGTCACACGTGCGTGCGTAACGATAGCGCTTCTTAATGCTATTAAAAGCGTCAAACGGAAGAAAATTGCTCTACTGTCATTAGATTTTTTCCCTTTTCACTCATGCCAAGCCTGCTAGTGTTTTATCTATCTGTAGATATTTTTTTAAAAGCATGTTTCACTCAAAGGTATAGCTATTTATACCATACATAATCTATACAATGTATAATGACAAACATATCTGATTACCTATGCAAAGCCTATAACATCCTTTAATTTACTGAAACAAAATATTATCATAGCAACTATTGTACAGTTTGTATAGATTCTATTTCCTATGAATGGCAAGTCCAGTGTAATAGTTATTATATTGAGCCGACCCTTTAATACCTATAATTTAGGTTTCAATATTGTCATTACCCAGCATACTGACAAGTGGGGCTCAAACCATACTCTGATAAGTGTGTAAATATTGTGACCATTGATTTAGAGTCTTCTTCTTTTAAATGCCATGGCTCCATCGAAACAAACGATGATTTCGCCAATGTCAAGTAAAAATGACTATGCGGTACTTCTACTTTATAATGTTACAACCCCATCAATACCATATCGGTAAACCCGCCAATGCCAAGTTAAGAAGAGTCACTAATAAACGTAATTGATCAAGCAGGTGATTTAAAATAAATTGAGGAGCATCACTTTTGGGCCGCCATTGTTAAGAAGCAGCAATATATCAATGACTTTCTAGAGTACTTGGTACTTGGTGCAACGGGCTGGTATCCGCAACTCGACGACAAAGCGCCTATTTTGCGTATGACTTTCTAGAGTAATAAATCTCAAAAATACTAAATTCATTGGTAAGACATTTGGACAAATCTGAGAAAGGGGACAAATGGTCAGTATCAGTCCTATTTTATTTAACCAATAGAAATTGTCTTGTCAGTGTCTTGTTTCCATAAAAAATTAGAACATTTAGTATTCACTTGTGTGATAAAGGTAAATAAAAAAATTACTTTGGAACTGTTGAAATGCAGCGGTGTGGTACTTTTTAAACTCCACACACTATATTAACTAATACCATAGATAGCTTTTTGCCAATTGTATCTAAATTATAATGGTCAGTAAACTATACATAGGTATAATATAAAGACGAATGTAAGAATATGATGTTAGAAGTGTTGTGTACTTTTGTTAATAATTTAATATGATGAATGGCTTAATGAAGTTGCTATGTTGTATTTTGTGTTGCTTTACTCATGCCTAAGTTATAGTTGTTGTCACTAGAGGTTGTATTGGAGCCATGTAAAAAATATCCAACTGCGACTCTACCACGACTACACAATAACAGTTGGCTCTAATTCTAACTTAAATTGTAAATTGCACTTTAAGTACGTTTTTTTCTTGTTTCTGGCACTTCGCGGTTTGCGTTAGTGCCACTGCAAAACAGGCAAACTTATTTACGGAAAACAAATGGAAAGGAAAAATAACTTGGAAGGAAGGATCAGGGAAGTTCAATTATGGTTAAATAAAAATACATAACATGAAAAATATATGACAAATGTAATATATGTTGATATATTTACATAGAGGTAGTTTAAAAAAATAAAAGTAGAGACTATCAAAAGAATCTATTTTTAAACACTTTAAAATTGATGCTGGCTACTTACTACCTTCTTTTTATCCCCCATAGAGGAATATAACATAGATACATTTCGTAGATCGGGCCATCCAAGCCGTCTAAGACATTCCTTAGACGACTTCGATGGCCCGACGACGGATTGAAATGTGGGCGCGGGATGAGGAGATACTCGGTTTGACCAATTTAGGACATTAACTTTTCTTTTTCTAAATTGATTGTGGTCTGGATGTTCTGAGTAGTACAGTGAATTCACACTTAGTTTGAGACTATGTAATGAGGTTGTCTAACATTTTGTTATGATTCTTGTGACCGCTATGCGCTAGGGGCGCTCTACAATTTACCTATACAAAATAGTCTAATAAGCGATATTATTTTTACCTTTTGTATAATAGCTACATGTGATCGATCATATGTCAAATGTGCTCTTATCACATGAAGTCATAAAATCAATACGAACTACGCGAAACAAATTATGAATATGTGAAATTTAATAACTTGTTATAGCATAAAAAAGTTATCGACAAAATTCGTTCGTGAAATGTTTAAATACCTCTCTCCTCAAAAGTTGCCATTTTAATATTGATTGTAATGAATATCATGATGTTTTACTACTATAATTATAAACTTATTTTTTAATCACCTTCAAAAAAAAAGGTGGAGGTTCTCATTTCGACTGTATTTTTTTTGTATGTACGAGTATGTTACGCGATAACACACAAATAAATACATGTGAACAGATTTTGTTGATTCTTTTTTTGTTGGAAAGACGGTACCTCAGAAGCGGTCCCTTTTAAATTTGAAGAAAATATTCACCTGTAAGAGTGGCAAAACTACCTTGTTATAATAATTATTAATAATAATATAATAATATTTCGTTTAATTCAGAATGTCTCCATATCGTGTTAGTAACAAATTTTATAAACCTTGTGCCTAAGTTAGTGAACACCCAAATACATATTTTAATCAGTACATTCTGCCTGACATGTGAAGGGCCTCCCATGCTTTCACAAATGGTACTTCGAGTCTCTCCGCAACGGTTTTAAATCAAATATCGAACACAAAGAAAAATTCCTTATTTTTTACACACACTCATAGCCCCGCACATAGGTAGACAGCCATAAATTACACCCAAACTTACGAGAGAAATATTGACTCGGAAATCGAACCTGGGACTTCAGCGTGGCAGTCCAGCATGGTCACCATTCGGCCACGGAGGCAGTTTGATTTGACAGTACTCGAACATGCACAGACGGTGCCATACCGGAGGGTGAACTTCGTATTTTACAGATGTATATTTATTTCACCAAGGGTTTTTTTATATTATGAGATTGCTAGCGAAAACTAGTTTACTGTAAAGTCATGGTAGACGCGCTCGTAATGATTCTCGCATTAACATTGTTCACAATATAATAATAAATAAATTATTTCAATATATCTCCTAAGAAAATAACCCCCACATTTAGCATCAAGTTTTCAACATTGGTGCTACATTTTATGAGTTGTTCTATACCAATTGTCAATTTATATAATTTTAAATGAAGCTAACAGTAAGGCCGCAAATTATAAACGGTGGTGCTTTCAAGGTTTGCAAGTGTATCCAAGACAAGACACAATGTACGCATAAACCTTGAACGCCCCGCTGAACGCAACACTGCCACTGTTCCGAATTTGTGGCCTAATGGTTTATTTAGATATTGTTGTCTAAGGCTCAATTTACATTACTGCAGAATGGAATGGAAGCGAATTTATGTAACGAAGTTGTACATAGCATAATCAACTTTATGGCAATTGTGTAACGTACAGACTTGATACGATACAGTAGCTGAGTGAATTTCCGAGACTGCGCAAGAAGTCTCCGGAAGACATGCGACACTGTTTTTGGCTCGTACGCACCTATCTAGTTGCTATGGTTACGAAAATAGGCTTCCATTCCGGTCCGCCGCAATGAAAATTGAGCTTTTACGTATATAAACTTTTAGAGAGCTGTCTGAATGTTGCGTGTTGAGTACAGTCGCTAAGAAAAGGTGCCTTGTCACAAAACTAAATAGTTAATATTTGTGTTTTGTACGAGAACATAACGCCATGTCTAAGGACACCTTCAAATTAAACTGCAGCGCTTCACCAATTTTTAAGCGTAAAACACACAGAGCGGGTGTGGGCCGGGTGCGGGTCGGGTCCGAAGCGCGCCAGGTTTAATTTCGATACAATGTGCGTGTGTAGCGCTGCAACTACGCGTCTACATATTGTATAAAAATTAGTAGCGGCACGGCTGCAGCGCCACTGTGGTGCCACTGCACCTCTTCTATTAGTGTCTAATTTGAAGGCGCCTTGAGGAAGCGAAATACGGTTAAGTCACAGTTGCTAAGTAAACTGACGAAGGTCTTTTAATATCGACTGTACAGGGATAGAATCTCTAAGATGGTAGATAAATAAATATATCTAATTAGTTATGTTTATAGTTTAAAACTGCATCCATTGTGCGTGTTACAATGTTAGGTTTTTTAGGGTTCTGTGGCCAAATGCCAAATGAACGGAACAATAATTTTAAATACAATGTATGTATAATATCAAGGATGCTAAAGAATTTATTGATTAGCTTTTTTAAACTGTTACTAGTAGTTTGTTTAAAAGTGCTTTTCTGAATTTAGATAAATTTTGTGCCAAACATTCATTTCTAAAATTGTATCAAAATTTATATGAATGGCACATTATCATATCGTCGGCTTATTGCAAGTAGTCACTAACTTCTTGCAATAAGCCGACGATATACAAATGAGAAATAACAATTTCACATTTTATTAGCCACAATATGAATGGACTTTTTTTATTGTTTACCTATAATCTAGTAAATATTTTTTACGATAAAAATACTGTATTAAACACAAACAAGGAAAATGTGACAACACCTTTCATTTCGACAAACGGCTGAGTACACGTGTATTAAGTGACAAAACTAAATTTTCACATAATTTACGCGTGTAAACAAACAACTTAACACCTGTCAAGTAATCATCAATGGATGATTAGAGTAGGTTACAATCAAACCTATTTTTAACCGACTTAAAAAAGGAGGTTCTCAATTCGACAATACTATCTATTACGTGAACATATTTGTAAACCGATTTCGGTTATTTTTCTGGTTCGGTGGTTCTGTCGGTAGTCATACCCTTTAGACCACCGAGGTCGAGGTTAGAGGGACGCGATTGCGTAAATACTTGAAATTTTTTAATCGACTCTGAAGAAGGAGGATTTTTAATTATTTTTGTATATACGTTGCGCGAGTACTCAAGACGTTCGTGAACCGATTTCTATAATTTTTGTTTTGTAAAAGGGGTACCTTAGTAGTAGTCCCATCAAATTTGAAGAAAATACCTGTAAGGGTAGCAATATAGGATTTGTATCCGGTTTATTGGACTTCATCTACTTTACATTGACTGATTTCAATAAAACTTGGCAAATAGATGTAATTCCACAAACTTAAGGCCGGTTTTTTTTATACAGAAAAGGTATAATTATTTGACGAAGTAGCCGACTCTCCCACACCCCGCACATGCCGTGATTTGTACGTAGCAAGTTATATTAATGTACGAAAGATGTCAAACAATTCAAGTGTCGGTAGACTTAGAGTTTATACTACCTGAAATGGCTTTAGTTGATTCCGCATAACAGTGAAAGTGCTAAATTAATCCCTTTGAAAAATAGTAATATTGAGGACATACACTGATTACTATTTGGTGTAAAAACACGATTACTAAAAATGCTTACGATAGAAAAAAAACACAACTTGAAATTTTACAAGAAAACCGCTGTGTTCAATTATTACTTTACATATAACAATGATTTTTTTTTATATCAACTGAATTAAATAGAACACGTATACTATACGATATCATTTTTCAAATAGCTTTAATTTCGTTTGTAAAAAAATTAATTCTGAAATAAAAAGCCAGTGTTCCTGCCGATCGACCCAAGCAAAATGAACCGTATTAGTAAGGGAAAAAATTTAATTCGAGCTGAGGTAGTATACACTCTAAAGCACAAAAGTAAAAAAAATAAACAAAGTTTGTTGTTCCGTGTTATTTATAATGTGAAGATATGCAGGGAAAGAGTAAAAGGTTGAATAAGACGCCACTAGAATTGAAGTGAAACAAATTAAGTGTGCTTATGTCTGTCTATGTATTGAAGTTAATTTCTTACTTATGTGCTTTAGTCTGTCGATGTTATAATTATGGGTAGAAATATCTATGTTAGCTAGTAATTTAGTGTTAAGTCTTTAGACTTAAAAGCCGTCTAACAGATTACTCGAGTAACGTATAAAAATATCAATTTGATAGCTGTATATTGTCTTATGCATAATATCAGAAGAGTGATTAGTGATTAACATCATCGTACAGTAGAAGAATTTTCTTAATATATCTCGGTAATCTTTGGATTTTTTAATTTACCCAAATATTTTTTTAAATTTTTATTTTTTTATTTTTTGTCATTATATTTTCTTATATTGTATCTTGACTTGCAGTGCCCTATTCAGGGTCATGTTCTACACTACAGTCGTATTATAACACATTTGTAACACCTGACTATGTACATGTGACAATAAATAAATACAAATACAAATTTACATGTATGTACCTCGATTTTTTTAGAATTACAAAAAAACGTAAATAAAGAAGCAGAGATCGTAATCATTTTCAGAGGTTCAATTCGACTTGATTTTTTTTGTATACATAATATGTTACGCGATAATTCTGTGAACCGATGATTCTTTTTTGTTGGAAAGAGTGTACCTCCAAATTATCCCACCTCTAAGAGTGGCAAACTATTCGCGCACTTTCCGGTAACCGATTTCAATAAAACTTGGCAAATAGACGAATTCCACGTAGTTTTCATGTCGGTTTTTTTAGTATTCTATACTGAGATTATTCTTCAGTTAACAAATTACAGTACAGGAAAACATCGTTAGAATTAATGAAAAATAACAATAATATTTTTTAAATTTCCGCTTAATGTTTTGAAGCTTTGTTTCCTTAAGTTTTTTATAGTGCGTCTTTGAAATAGATTAAGGTCGTAAACTAGAAATTGTTCATTTAATTTTATAATAGTAAGTAGTACAAGTAAAAAAACGTACTATTTAGGTACGTACATACAGGTAGTAAATATTTTTGAGAATTTAGTTTCACAGGTGTTAATTTGGATGCATTACTTTAAGAATAGGTAAAAGCCAGTGTGTGAATATGAAGGAAATGTGATGTGAAATTAGCCTGCAAAATTTGTATATACTATCCAATTTTTGCATTTCAGTAACTGTGCTTGAGATACGAGTTTGAGAAAGTAGGACAACGAGATGGTGTCTGATAAAAGACCCAAAATTTCCTTGTTATGCTAAAAAAAAGATTTATCTATAAAAATATGAATTCAGTACTATTGTTCTGTTTTATATGTGAATTATATAGAGCTTTAAAACGATTTCCCTTTTTATAAGAACGTTTGCCTAACAATACTTATACCTATAAGTATGGTACCTACCAAGCAAGTTAACAAAAATGATACATACTTTCAAGTCGATTTCCGGCCAAGTGATAGAAATCCGACGACAGCCCCCTACATCTTTTCTACATAAGTTTTGTTTATAGTGACCCAACCTCTTGGTTATACGCGAAGGGTACTATTACCTATGCGAGCAAGCTCGTACAGGGACCTACTCAGTCAGAAATCTGACGACAGTCGAAACACGAATATTGCCGAGAGATATTAATAAAATAGTTCTTCTTGTACATACATATAACGTCCCATCGCTTCGTGGCCACGAATCGAAAGCTGTAAAAAACTTGTACAAAAGTTATAGCAATTATGACTGTATAAATGAAATAAACAAATAATTTTTCAAAACAAATATTTTATTTAAGGCCTATGTATAATGCCGTTCCTGTTTGACACGGATGTATGATCAAATACAGGAAATACGTGTAGGCTTTCGCTGGAAAATAATCCCAAAAATAACGTTTTAACATAAATACGCTTGTTTCGCCTTTGAAACAAAGTCCGGACTGCCAATTTATTTTAGTACAAATAGCAGTTCTTAGGGCACCTTCAATTCAATTAGACGCTTATAGAAGCACTGCAGTGGCGCCACTACTAATTTTCATACAATATTTAGAAGCGCAATTGCAGCGTCACTGTAGTGATACGCGCGCGCCTCTTTTGCAGTCACATTTACTGAACTATAAACGACTGAAACTCTAGAGACGCGCGGCTGCCGCGCTTGTGCAGCACTTCTACAAACGTCTAATTTAAAAACGCCCTTCGACATAATCTAAACCAAGTGTTCATAAAATTTGTCATAATATAAAGACAATTACTGAACACTTAAAAATATATAATATATTTTGTTTAATATATTTAAAAGGAATGTTTTATAAAGTTCCAGCAAAATCCCACAATGAGCTATTACACATATCTAACATACAGGATATGGCATGAGTAAATCCCAATATGTAGATCCCTTTGGTTGATTTAACGTAAAAACTAAAGTAACAGTCTATTTATTTACACAACTAATAGGCGGTTGGAACAAGCTGTTATATCCGTGCTTTGCTCCATATGTTGTCGTTATCTGTGATCAGTGTATACATGCCGGCGAATGTGAGACCCAAGACGGCGCCTGAAAATACCAAAGTTAAGTGTAACGACTGCAAAAATTCACTTCATTATTCCTCCCAGAAACATATTAAAGAAAAAATCTGCTATTGTAATATTTATTTTGTGAATATCATGATGTTATACTATTATGTTATTAATTCTATTTTTTGTGAAAATACACCAGTAGTTTGTTACTGTTATTGATACAAATATATAAAACACACAAAAATTCCTATGATCATTTGTTTAATTGAAGATCACTAATAACAATGTACGTCGGGTTCTCGCTAAAAAGTGTCCGCACCTATAGCGCGTTAAAATCGCATAAAGAGCGTCAATCGCGAAACCGTCTTCGTTTGTTCGACTGACAGCGCGGTTGTCAATCATGCAGTAATAGATAATAATAACTTGTAAAAAGAACTCAGTAAAGTGTAAAAACAGGATTTTTTATCATATTTTCACTAAACAAATATATTGTGTTATCATAGTAATTATTTAAAAGTGTTATTTTGTACAGTTGTATAGTATTTAATTTATATATAAATGAATCGTAAATATAAATATAAAAGCAAACAAAATAATCAACTGTCCTTTTTCTATACATTGCATGCGCAAAAGATGGAAAGAGACCCATACGTCAATTTCAAGAAGCTTATACAAACTTCTTGGTCATTTTCAATTGTTCGAACCACAAGCGATTGAAATATTTAGAATATTTAGAGATAGAACTATAGAGTTGCTTGATTTTAATCTCATTTTTATAATGATTTTTATTAAACGTTAGCAGTAACTAACAAAATATTGTACTCGTTTTACGGCTTGGGATTACCTATCAGAAGTCAGAAAATATATTTGCCTGAAATAACGTTAGCTCGAATTGTCATAATGTCCAATGTTAAACAAAAGCTAATTTTGTCTTTGTAAAAAGCATCAAAATTACTTGAAAGCATAACGGTTTTATTATAAATCGGTTTTCGGAATTACGGATATATGAGTTTACGTTGAGTTGGAATATTGGTGCATTTCATATAGTACACGCATATTTTCACATTTGTAATATTTGTATGTATGTATCTGCCCAACTCTTTATTATTTCTTTAAGTGCCCCATTACTCTTGTGTTCAAGTAATTTTCAGTCAAAGCTAAATATGGTGCATTTTGTTTTCAACTTTCAAGTTTCCAGTAGAAGCTGAATATAGTGTTTTGGGCCATTAAATTGTTGCTAGCAAAATTAGAGGTAGTATTGCAATGACGTTACATTTAAATTAAATGTTTTAGTTTTTTTTGGATTTCGTTATATGTCAATACGTTTGTATAGGTTAACTTCGGACATTTTTTTCGGGTTTTTTGTATTAGACTTGACGTCCATTTCTTAGTAGGTCAATGCTTCAACTTCAACTTTTGTGTCTATGGCTCCGTCGTTTTGCGCGACGATTTTGCCAATGAATAACAAAATAAATATTGCAATTAGTATAGCGACATCTCTTGTCAGCTTCTGGTAGCTGTAAACGTACCTGAGTGAAGAAAACATTCAGTTTTTCACAGGAGGCGCTACGGCCAAAAAAACCGTTTAAACCCAATGTTTACTAAAGAAATTCGTAAGTCAGCAGACCAACTCGATCTGTGGCACAGTTGGTAAGAGCAGTAGCCTCGGTTTAGCAAACAAACATTGTTTAAGTACAGTCAGATCGAAGGTTTTTTTCTGTATGTCTGTTCTATCTTTGTATCATCATTGTTCAGATTATGAATCTGCTATTGTATTAATTGACTTTCTTTTTAAATATATAAGTAAAATAAAATTTGTCAGAGGTTTTGTCTATTGCAACCACTTTTTAAATGGTTAACTTAAACATGATTATTATTTATGCCTCCTAGTAGAAATTTGGAACCTTTGATTGTTACAATCCTGCATACATTTATTGCTTCCTTCATTTACACAAGTTCTTTTATAAATCAGAATTGATCAAGATATTTACCTAATCCCATTGACTTTAAACCTGCAGTGCTCTTGTAAATGAGTCCTGTAGTGGCAGCAGCTATAAAGGTGTTAGTAGTGTCTTCTTTGTCGCGTAACCAAGTCACGCCAAGCGCAATGCACGAGTAGAATGACGCTATCATGCCCAATGTACAGCCTGTCGTTGTACCTGGAAAGGTTGTAAGAATTATTACCAACTACTTTTACACACCAAACGCACTTATTACCACCAAAAGTACCGAACATTGCACCAATGCTCAGATGTTACGACAGAAATGAATGTTTTTTTTTTCCATAATGTTAACAAGTTGTTACAAAATATAATATAGACAGCATTTATGAACCCTGTTGAGCACAGGAAATGAGAGGGAGGGATTTTTAATGGTTGAGAAATTATTATTGAGGTAATATACAATTTTATAATCTATATAAACATGTATTTTTTATGATTGATAGTGAGCTAAAATATAATGTTGAAAGTAATTAATTCGTAATATGTTGAACCAATCTGGCGTCACAGGATTTAATAGAAAAAATATATACATATACCTTAAGCAGTTGTTTCCACACTTTGTCAACAGTTCACAGGATAAATGAACTTTAGGTTTAAAAGCATTTGAATATCTGACTACTATTATAAGATACAATTTCAAATAACATGTGTCTATTTATTTGTGTATTTATTCGTATTTAAGTATTCCACTAGTTTGTTGTTTGAACTGATACAAAGATCGAACAAACTCAAACAAAAATTCCTTCAATCTGGCTATACTTAAACCACCGACATTTTTTCGCCTAATCGTTGCTCTTCTTGGATAACCTCCATGGCGGAGTGGCTTGCACATCGGTTTTTATGATGTCGCCATCTCCGAGGTCCCGAGTTCGATCCCCAGCTGAGTCAATATAGAACTTTCCTATATTGTCTCGGCTCTGGGTATTTGTAGATCAGTTGATGGTCACAGTGATGAGGAGCTGCATAAGCCCCGAATGAAGCCACCCCAATAGTTTCAACACAAGTGCTTCAGTTACTAACTTTGGGATCAGAGCATCATATGTGATGTTGTCTAATGTATATTATTTATTCTTCACTCGCGTTAGATGAAAAAATGACGCTGATTCAAGTCCAGTAGGATCAAAGGAATTTTTCTTCAAGTTTATTCAATCTTTGCATGAATTATAATACATATCTAGTAACGAGTTCTTAGGTTTTCTCGATTGTTACACATAGGAAATGAACTATTTTTCCGGATTTAAATAGCGTATTTTTGTTTTTTCAAACAAACTGATGTTTCGGGCCGTTTACAGGTCCCAACGACCTGGTGTTAGTCAAGCTTCATTGAATGTGTAGGTTTATCCACGATATGCTCACAGACTGCAGACTTGTTTACGTGACTGTGTTTGACATCAGCTAGATTTTCTTTGACGCGGGTACAAATGCTTCGCTTCGTTCGTCCAATATACAAGAGACCACACTCACAGTCAAGCTTGTAAACTCCTGCATCCTGTAAGGGGTTGTTACATTTCACGGGTCTCGGGTCCTTGCAAAAGAAGTCCGTTATGTACCCAGGATGATGCGAGGGCATTGAAATTAAAAAATATCCTAATTTCAATGGGGAAGATGGTTTCTCCGTACCACCAGTTTGGGATACAGTATTTCCTCTGATGAGAAATCCCAAACAGACAAAAGACTGCAGTATTACTTAATATGTTTTAGTTTATTCTAATTACTATTATTAATTAATAAGACATTGAACTTAATAAAAATTCATTCCATAAAATAATTTGTAAAACTGAATGTGGCATAAATTGGTATGTTCTCTGTGTAAAATAAAAAATAAGGTATTTAATTAATAACTATTGTAAGTATAGTGAAAAAATAGGGTGGTTTGCATTAATATTAGACATAACTGGTTGAAGACTGTACCACCTCAGTCAACTGTGACCATGGAACCTGTAAAGGGCCCGAAACGTTGGTTTGTTTGAAAAAAAAATTGAATTGAAGAAATTGAAGTGATTTAAAACTGGAAAAATAGTTTCATTTCCTACATATCTAGTAAGTTTTGGTCAACCTTTTCAAGAACGACTATTTTTTTGACAAAGAGGCAGTGTATGTATTTACTTCTAATTCATGTGCACTTACCTTGTTTCATAACATAGTTGATCACCTGTGTCCTCCGAACTTTGCCCATTTGTCCTGCTAATGTGGTTGCCCGCAGGCCTTTGTACAATCCAGTCACACCACCCAGACCTGTATTTAGTAATAAAATCAGTCTAATGTTAATACCATAATCAGTGTCTACAATAATTAATTTAGAGTTAAATTCTTTTTATTTTTTAAAAGATAACATAAGTGCTCATTCTATGCCCTTCTCACTGGATGGAAAGTGATGGTGAGGTTGACAATGGAGCATGAAGACCTATACAGCCTATTCCGTCTCTCCTTGAAAAAACCCAAGTCATGATTGAATTTATTATAATACTGTTAGAAACCCTTTTTTCTTCTATGTAAGTTGTTGAAATTGAATTTTGATTTAAGTTTTTAGTGTTCCTTGTCACCGCAACTTACAGAATCAATGCATTGTTTTCCTCGTAACTATAACTTGTGTTATTTTTTATTTGTGGGATAGAAAAGACTCCTGTCTTTACAGTACTATTTTAATAATATGAATGTCACTTTGGAGACATTTTTTTCGAGAAAAACGTAATTTTGAACAATAACCTACATAATATTAAACATTATGAGTAGAATAAAGATCTTGTCCATATAATGATTAATAACAACGAGATGTTATGTAAAATAACCTAACTTTTTGAGGTTATAATCAACGTCGTAAGTAACATCAAACTAACCTGAACCTGTCATGAAAGACATTCCTATGATGGGAAGGGCCACGTTAGATCTTCGTGCTGTAGTTGCCATGTGACTATCATCAGGGTATATGAACTCTGGTTGCATTCTCGGGATGTAGTGTGGATCGAAGTTCAGGTAAGGAGACAGGCCAGCCCCAGACGCTGGGCTGGCCTGATCATCCTTCTTATTTAACGGCAATATATCACCAAATATGGACATTTTCGTTTGTAACACTATAAACTATTCTAAAACTAATAAACCGTGATTCGAAAATCACGAAAATTTTCACTGAATCAGAAACCAAATGTCAATGCGAATGTCAATAAGTATAATTGACCATAGAATAGTAGTTGTAAAATTTACCTCCTCCGGAACAGGTTCAGACGCTTGAACCATACTGCCCAATCTATTTCAATTTTTCAGAAGTTGATGCAAATATATTCTATAAGATCGTTATGTGGCGCGTAAATAATATATAATTATCGTTTTTAACCGACAGGACAGGAGGTTCTCAATTCGACTGCATTTTTTGTTTGTGTATGTTACTCGGTTACTCAGACATTTTGTGGACCGATTTCGATGATTCCTTTTTTTTGTTAGAAAGGTACCCTTAAGGTACCCCCTTAGTAGTAGTAGTCCCATTCATATTTGAAGAAAAAATTCCATCTTTAAAGGTGGTCAATTAGGGGATGAATCGAGTTTATTGGACCGACTTTCCGTTAACAGAGTTCAATAAAACTTGGTAAAAAGATGTAATTCCACAAAATTTTGAGGTTGGTTTTTTCATAAAACATATTATGATTTATTTTCCCGGTACATTTGCGAAAGTATTTTATATTCTCCTTTATATTTTTTGGAATCAAACGCTTACGAGCGTTACACAAAGAAAATAATGTACTCAATACCCTTTTTCACTATACATATAAATAAAAATATAAAATATTTGACTTAATATAAAATAAAATAAAATGGTAAAGATTTAAAGTAAAGATACCGGTAACTATCCGGTATTCGACCTATTTTTACTATCCGGCCGGATACCGGATAGTAGAACAATATCCGGCCGGATACCGGATATTTAAAACTGAGTAAAAATCATAATCAGTACGCCAAATAAATAGATTTATTGATTAAAGATGATGTTAATAGGATAAACAGCAACTTGAACAGGATCGTTGACAATCTGTTTATTACTTGAAACTGAAAGAACTATGAATTTAAATAACGTGATTCGTAAAAGTACTCAAATTTCAATAAAGGCAAATTAAAGTGGATGAAGACTAGTTTTTCTGCATTAAGTGGTAAAACTTGGTTTTATTTATTTTCATAAACGACACCAGCTTCAGAGGACAGTTTTTCACTATACGCTCTTGCACACTTTGTTAAATTTAAGTACTAGTACTTGTTACTGCCAGAGGACCAAATGAAAGGATTGCGATCACGGTCGATTTGAACAATAATATATCTTCAAATACATGTGTACCTACATTAACGAAACGTGTAAGTAGATAACTTTTTTGGCAAATCTGGTATCAAGGCTCAAATTAGTTAGATCACAAGCGAATTAATGAAATTAAATTGAAACAAAATAGTAAAAAAGTACAGCCCTCCCAGTGGCCGCTGAAGAGTCCTAGGGTGGCGGTAGGCGCCTCGAAAGCAATTGGTTTTTCTGTTAAGTTAATTTAAAAAATACGTGTTTTCAATAATTTTTTGTAATGGTTGAAATTTTTTTATCTTACCTAAGTGGGAAGCGAGCCAAAAAGTTTGGGATGTGCTAGGCTTATACTTGTAATAACTAAACATTTTAATATAACCAAAGGATGATTTAATTGCTTTTTTTCCTTCTCAATGTGCATATATATAGTGCCGAACTATAAACAAACAGCACTGTTATTAAAATATTGCTAAATTTGCGATTATTTTCACTGTTAACATTTTTCTGTTATGTATTTGTTTTAAATTAATCGTTTTTATAAAAACCAAGTGATGACAACAAATCAAATCGTCAATCTAAAATGCAATCATTCACAAATCAATCAATCACGGCAATCATCGCGACATGTTTACGGCAGTGGGTGAGATATCCGGCGGCCGGATATCCGGCTATCCGGCCTAGATCCGACCAAACCATTATCCGTTTCATCTTTAATTTAAAGGTAGAAATTTTGATCCATTTCCCCAAGACATGGTGCCTCGAGAGCATGGCGACGTATCCCTTTTGCCAAACACATTATTGTTTTTGGCGGAAGTAGTTGGCATTTTTAAGTAGTCTAGTTACAGGTTATAGGCAGTTTCAACGAGACTTGCAAATTAAATTTTATTTTATTATTGCACTATCTTAAAATTCATACTATATAATGACTAATAATTATAAACTATATAACTGCCGTCCGTTATTTATTTATTTATTTATTTATTTATTTTATTTATTGGAAGACCAACGGCTATCTTATAGAATAAAAAACTTAAATAATAATGGTGAGCCAATTATAGGTCCTCGCCGATAGATACATTTTACACGCTGGACTGCGACGCAGAGGTCTCGGTTTCTATTCCCGGGCCGGGAGAAATATTTGTAAGGCCTACATCTATTCCTTTCGTGAGTTTGGGTGTAATTTGTGGTTGTCTATGTGTCTGTCCATGGCACCCGCGATACAGGGTTTGCCTAGTGCGGGGCTATGAGTGAGTGCGTGTGTGCGTTATTACATAGGCTCAACTCACACTGGCGCAGGGTCGAAGCGTCGCGTTGCGTCATGTTTGTCGCCTATAGTATATGCATCTTTATTTTCCTATCATTAAGGTACAAATTCTTGTTATGCAAATATAGAAACGGGCGTGGACGGTTGGATGCGGTCGATTGGCTTCGCGCGTCACTTGAGCGCAGTGAGGCGTCAGACGCCGATCACACTGTGATCCGGGCGCACTAATGCGAGTGTCGTCGCGCGACGACGCGCGTCGCCAAGCGTTGTAAAACAGGACACGACGCGACGCTTCGACTCTGCGTCAGTGTGAGTTGAGCCTATACCTTTTGTTTAAAATCCCCGTTTTGAGTTTACGCCCTAATATCGAATCTCAAAATCATAACATCCAAAAAAGTTCAGCATTAGTTGAATACTACCCTGTACATGTGCGTTGCGTACTTATGTTCGTTCATTTCCGTATTTGTATATCTATTAGCGTGTACATGATTATAGCTTTTATTTCTAGGGAGGAAAGAACCCCAGAGGATGCTAGGAAAATAATTAAAACAGCAAAACTTCACGAGTCGGAACTTACTGATATTACTCAAGTCTTGAGATTTCCAGATCCGAGACTACATAATGATAACTTGAAGCTCATGTTGTTAGATGATAACTTATTGAAAGAAATTGAAGCTGGGAATGAACTTCTCTTCAAAGGTAAATTAAAGTGAAAAGTGTGTTGACAACATGTGAATTTCTAAATAAATACAGTGCTTAATATATTTTTTGTACTGTGTCCGTTCACAGGGGACCCCGATGAAAACGTAGTTCTTTGTACAAGTAATAAAACTTACGATGTAAAAGAAGCAGAGACATCTAACAGCCTTCTTTTGATCCCAGACTTGTTATTCGGTGCTGCCACGGGTCTTGATGAGACCATTAAAAACAACTCCATGGAAGGCGATTCCGACTCTTCATTCGATAAATCTAACACAAGTTTGAATAAATCTAACGATTCTGATGAAGGTACGAGGTTACCACGACAGATTGTGCATAAAGATATTGTTAACACTTTCTTCACTTACTACGAAGTGAAGCCGTGCAAACCACGCCTATCAAAACTACAGAAACTGCTAGAAAGTACGAAATATCGAGGTCCGGAATTAGAATATGAAGTTGACAAATCAAAATTACTAAATTTCGATGCTATACTTGATCAAGTTCAAGCGTCTCGAGCTGAGATAGACCAAGAACTCGAGAAAATTCAAGCTGTCAAAATCGATGAGTATTATCGTTTACTTGAGTTCGATTATGAATTTCGAATTTTGTCTTACATGTTGGATCTTATTGAAGAAAATTCATGGCCTTTGGATAGAATATCGAGAGATGTTACTATGGATAGTTTAAAAGAACTTGGTCCTATTCAAGTTTTGCAGGCAATGTTCAGATTTTATACTAAACCATCCACCCAAGAAGATGGCGTGCAGTATTATCAATACGATCAAGCTAAAGTTTGCAGATTCTTAGCTAGTGTACTGTTGACAAGTGCAAGAAGATTCAATTTAGAAGAATTTCTTCAAGCTTGGAGAGATTCTGTTCCTGAAGGAATGGTTCCAGACGTGAGGACATTTCATCTTTACAATATAAGTTTTCCTCTAGTCGTAATCTATGTGAGAGTAATTACATTTTTGTTCTTCCAGGAGACCATGTTGTCAGGGATAGCTTTAATAGACAAATCTTCAACCCCCCACGTGATTTGGGGATTCGCGGAAAATGAATTACCAGAAGAAATAAACGAGCGATTCAAGGTTCTTTTTCAAACAAAACCTAAATGGACTCTTCAAGAAATATCACCTTACATACAGTGAGCATTCTAAGTGTTCTATTATTCAAAATACGTTTGGAATAGGGATTTCCTCTCGGGAATATCGATCTCGAAAATTGTGAAAACCTCGAGAATTTTTTTATGTTGTCGATATTTGAGACTGATGTTTTCAGTCTCGGGAATTTGGAGACTAGTCAGATTTAAGTAGCTAACAAAACCTAAGTGGACTCTTCAAGAAATGTCACCTTACATACAGTGGTATTCTAAGTATTCTATTATTCATATTATTATATTCTATTATTCTCGAATATCGATCTCGAAAATGTCGAGAATCTCGAGAAGTTTTTCATGTCGATATTCGAGACTGATGTTTTCAGTCTCGGGAATTTGGAGACTAGTCAGATTTACGTAGCTTAATTAAAAAGTATTAAAAATGTATTTCATTAAAAAGTCATTTTTTATTCTGGTTACATAGACATGACACTGTAGATGGAAGCTTAGCATAATTAGTGGAGATTGAAGAATGGTAATAATAAAATCAGGTTCTCCCTTTCGGATACGAATTAAACACTCTGTGTTTCCTATGTATACACTATAAAAATGAAAAACAAAAACAAATTTTCGTAAATAATTTAAAAAAATAAAATATATCATGTTTTAACTGCCTCAACGCCTAGCCTATAAGTATGGAAACCTACTTTTGAAACAGTTTCGAAAGTCGCGTTTTTCCCTGGTCGAAATTTTTTTCGGGGACACAAATACGCAACGAGTCTGAAATCCCTAGTTTAGAAGCATAGTGCGTTTTTGAAAAGAAGCTGATTTTAGTGAAAAATTTAATTCTATTGTTTCAGGTGTTACGCCACGGAGAAATTGAATGTAAATGCGTTGTTAACAAAGTACGCTAGAGCTTCTACTCAGGATGGTATTCGAGTATTTTCAGCTAAACATATGAACTGATTGAATTTTTCGCTTTTTTAATTTTTTTTTGCCGTTAGCATTTTAGCCACTGACAGTGTTTGACTTTGTCTTTAAAACGGGGCAACCTTTAAATAGAAAATTTTAAAACGGGATTAGGAAAAGTGAAGAAAAGGGATCAGGCGAGGAAATATTATGTCCATCACGTAATATGACATATAAACCAGCAATTGCTTTTTTGTTGACTTTTCGCGGTTAGCGTTTCATAATTTGCCTGTCAGTGGGTATAGGGTTTTTACTTTTGTCTTTAAAACGAGGAAAATTTAATATTAAAAATGTTTAATCATAAAGACGTCAGAGTCGTTTCCTCAACTCGACGTCAACTGAAGCAATCACTGCGTCATTATAATTTTAATTCCAAACTTTCTAATGTTAGCATTATTTTTTAATAAAACATGTATTTACTTTAATTATGCATATTTTATTTTCATTATGTCGCTTAAATTAAAAATACATCGTTTACGTTTATTTACAAGATGATAATCTTACTTACTGTACAACAACTAAACTAGGCACAGCCATCGTATTTCTTCTGCTAATACGTCGTACATTAAGATGCCTATCCTATCAAAAGATATGAGCCAGATAAAAACATTGTCATTAACTTTCAATTCCAAACCAATATACGATTAGCAAATTCTTAAAGTTAATTAATCTCTAATTAAACTGAGGAATGTTAATAATACATATACACAATGTGTTTCTCGATAATTGTCTAACGAGTCTTTGGTTTAATTATGCTGCACGTTGTTTCTAAGTTTGTCCAGTTCATCCCAAATTTCGTTTGGTAAGTCTTCGCCAACTTCCTCGGTGAAGTATTTTTTAACGGCATCCACCTGGGGAAAAAAAAATCATCATTCATAAGTTCCCTGTTGAACCATGAAAGCTATAAAACTTTTTTATTTTACGATCTAGTAATAAACAAACAACATGTCTTATAACGTACCTCTTGTATCCAGAAATCTTTAGGAATGCTGAATAGTTTGTTCATCTGAATATCTTTCAGGCCCTCTGTGTTTAATGCGCCGGGAGCTGGTACGTAACCGAGTGGGGTTTCCATGTGGCAAGGTTCATTGTCGCAGCGACGCAGCACCCAATCCAATACGCGAGAGTTTTCCCCAAAACCGGGCCAGAGGAATTTGCCCTAAAAATGGTAAGAAACGATCAGATCACATGTTACTATTAGTAGAATAGTATCTCAAATTAAAAATCTAGATCATTTTACCTGTTCATCCTTCCGGAACCAGTTGACGTGGAAGATCTTAGGCATATGTCTTCCAGGTTGCGCCATCGACAGCCAGTGCTTCAGGTACTCGCCAAAGTTGTAGCCAAAGAACGGACGCATCGCGAACGGATCGTGCATAACTACTTTACCCTAATCAAAGCAGAAACGAAAATGTCAATACTTATGTTTTCTTGTCAATGAAAACCAATTATAAATTACAAGAAAGTTTCACTTACGCTGTATTCAGCAGCAGCAGTAGCTTCAGATCTCATAGATGCACCCATGAAGACACCATGTTTCCAATCTCTAGCTTCCACAACCAATGGGACACCAGAGGGTCTACGTCCACCAAGCAAGATTGCTGAGATCGGTACTCCATCAGCACTTTCCCAGTTGTCATCGATTATTGGGCATTGAGCTGCTGGAGAGCAGAATCTGCGACAATAATAATTTTTCATTACCTCACAAATTAGGAGTGATAGATGATATAACAAGAAAACTAAAAGCTCTTTATATGCACCTGTTTGAACATGTTCAACTTACCTTGAGTTTGGATGTGCAGCTGGAGTCTTCTTGCTGGGGTCGAAAGGTTGTCCCTTCCAGTCAGTAAGACCTTCAGGTGCGGGGCTCATTCCTTCCCACCAAACGCCACCGTCTTTTGTTTCAGCTACATTTGTGAACACGGTGTTTTTGAACACAGTTGCCATTGCCATTGGGTTAGTAGTGGCTGAAGTTCCTGTAGACGAAACACAATAAATAAGAGATGTATTCACTTTGACAACTGTGAACCTACAGTGCCTTAGAATGATTATAAAAACTTACCAGGTGCAACTCCAAAGAATCCATTCTCAGGATTAATGGCCCTCAGTACACCATTCTCATCGAATTTCATCCACGCGATGTCGTCGCCGACGCACTCGACTTTGTACCCTGGCAGGGTGGGCGTCATCATGGCTAGATTGGTCTTGCCGCAGGCGGAAGGGAACGCAGCTGCGATGTAGCGCTTACGGCCTTTCGGGTCTGTGATGCCTACGATCTGGAAAACGGAGGAAAGTTAAAATTTTGGAAATTTCGGCTACCATGTACCTGGCAGATTAGTCTTAAAGCAGCTCTCTATCAGGTACAAAATGAAAATTTGTCCTGAATTAGCGATTGCTGAAAAACAAACGTCTTTGCCTACCACCTGGACCCATAAGGGTTAACCGAATGAAGGACGGGTGTACACCCACAGGAACAATTTAGGTACTTAGTTAAGTCACAACCTGGAACTACATAGCAAGAGATATAATATGTATAAGCTAATGTACTAACCAGCATATGCTCAGCGAGCCAGCCCTCTCGGCGTGCAATCACGGAGCCAAGACGCAGAGCGAAACACTTCTTGCCCAGTAGACTGTTGCCGCCATAACCACTGCCTGTGGTATAAAGTGGGATTGGATTGGTTTGGTTTGGAATGTATTAAAAAGGGTATGGTTTTCTAGATCTTCGCTCTAAACCGTTCATACCTCGGTACGATTGTTGAAATCGACCAAAGTGTACGAAATTTTGAAGAAACAATAGCGCAGAACCTTTAGCCACATCATCACACATCGGCTCTAATGTTGCGCACTGAGCTAATAAGATATCTAATCACTCACCATAGCTGACAATTTCGTTGTCAATAGGCTTGTGCAGGATGATGGTATTTGCGGGGTCACATGGCCAACCAGGCGTCCCTTGCGTGCCGACAGCGTGTAGGCAACGCACGAAGTTCTCGTCCTTGCGAAGGGCTTCAAGGACTTTGCTGCCTGTAGTAACAGTCACAGCAATTGATCATTGTTCTATACTACATGTAAGACAAGGCGTTACTGGTTTTCTTCTAAATTCCTTAATCCAAGTGATTAAGGAACCGATGAGAGACGATAGTAGAAACACAAGATGTTTTCAAGCGGTCTTATATACAATCGATTAACACACGGGAAATCATGGGGATACATATATCCAAAGTCACAACTTACCAATCCTAGTCATAATACGCATGGAGTAGACAACGTAGGGCGAGTCGGTGATCTCCACACCGATCTTGGAGAGAGGAGATCCGACAGGGCCCATCGAGAATGGGATCACATACATTGTGCGACCTTAAGAACAAGCAAAATTTCGTCAAGTTACACACCAAAATTACTTCATTGGCTAGGTAATGGGCAATTGCTATTGAATACTATTCTGTTATTTATGGCTTGGTTTTGCACTGTAGAAATATAATACTATTAATATGGCATATTATATATAGAAGAAGAAACTCCTTGAAGATTTTGCTTTTAATTACAAAATACCCTGTACATAAGTAATTCGAATGGTAATCTTCTGTGGTTTCTAAACAAAGAGAAATATTTTTACTGCCCTCAATAAAAATTCTGAGTTGTCCTTACCTCGCATGCAACCCGGGAACCGCTCAGAAATAGCTTTGTCATACAATTTGGGCGAAATGTAATTCCCAAGGGCAGATTTTTGACCCGCTCGAGCTGCAGGCACTACGTCTCGCTCGTCTTCAGAGCAGATGAAGGTGCGGGATTCCACGCGAGCCACGTCTGCCGGGTCTGTGCGAGTTAGCCAGCTGTGATAAGAAGTATGCGTTAGTGAATAGTTGTCGAAACGTCTTGCACAATTGATCAGATTAGTTATTTGTAGCCACAAGTACCTAAACAAACCTGCAAACCCCAAAAAGTGACAAAAGCAACGACAGGTGGGATATTGAGGAGTTTGGTCTAGATACCGCATACCGAATATTCTGCTGCACAATTACATATTTGGTCTACGTTGTTCGTTATGTTATATTGTTCGGTCCATAAAGCAAGTTGTTACCACTTACCAGTTATCATATTTTGGCAGGCGCTTGATCGCGCCCTGGAGCTGCATGACCTGCAGTAAGGCTCCGGCTTCGGCCTCAGAACCGTCGCACACGTGCACATGCTCGGGTTGGCATAGAGCTGCGCTGCGTTCCACGAATGCGCGGACCTAAGAAAAAAAAACATATTTAGAGAACTACAAACAGGCGCTTTCAGATACAGAGTCAAGAGTTCCACTGGGTTTGATTGTTTAGGGCTTCTGAATCTAGCAACCCAAGTCACTCATTGATTTATGGTAGCATGTAGATGTACTATTTGGCAAATTATTAGGTACTAGTACTCAATAAAAGTCTTACATCGAAAAACCTTCAATAATGAAGATATTTTTTTTTTGTAATTATTACCTTAGGAGTTAGTGCAGCAATCTGGGGGTTGGGTACCGTAACACCGCGCAGTGCAGTTTGGTGCGCCGCACGGCTGCAGCCCAGAGCCAACTGTGCGCATCTATGGACAAATAAACTATAGAATTAATATTATAATCTAATGCTTGATGGAACTGTCTTGCTCTGCCTAAGTATAATCGGACTTCACATTAAACTGCCATACTTACACCTCACCTCACCTCAGGACGTTTTAATATAATTGCCACGCACATGCATTTTTGAAATTATCTGCTTAATTAGAGTCGTCTGTAGCGGACGAAATAGAAAGGGCGTTGTAATCTTTATCGGTCTGTCACAGACATCAAACAGTTTTTTTAATGGTGTTATTAAAACTCGAATGGTTCTGCTTTTAGATTTTTAAGTCTATAAGTAGGTATTTTCCGCCTGGCAAAGCCGAGGCCTTGTTAGATTCTGGGGCCCTGAGTGAGGTTGCAATGATACTAAGTGACGGGACGAACAAGTCGTGCGCCTGGCGGTAAGCGACACGCATGTTCATAACAGTTGCAGTGCCACTCAGAGCTTTAAATCGCAAAGATGGGCACTGCCAATGCACCCGTTACCCTGAGGCATCAGTTAAAAAGTCCCATGTGCCTGTAATTTCACCAGCAACGTTTACCCTTCAAAACCGAAACGCAGTAATACTCACATCACTGTTTGGCGGCAGAAATAGGTAAGGTGGCAGTATTTTCCTGGACGAACTCTTCCACAAGGAGCTCTACTTCTCCAAAAAGGGAGACGGTTCTAGTTTACCAAACCTCCTGCAGTTATATACATATGCTTATGATTTGCTTGGTGATATGACTTCCAAACTAATGGAAACAACTAATCGATCAATCAGAGTAGAGTCTTCGTATAATAACTTGCTAATTTATTCGTACATATAGTTTTAATGAAACTCATTTGTGGCGACAACCTGTTTTTTAAATTTTATGTTATTGGTCTCTACCAACGACATTAAATTAAAAAACAGGTACCATACATCTCTATGTATCTATGACTTTATAAAAATAGCCATTCCATTAGATTTTCAATGAGAGGTCAGAGTTAAAAGTATTACATAATATAGCCCGATATATCAACACATTTGTATGTTATAATGTAATATTCACAAGATTAAAAACGTTATTTAATCGAGTTCTTAGGTTTTCGCGATTGTTACACATAGAAAATGAAACTATTTTTCCGGATTTACATCGCGTATATTTGTTTTTTCAAACAAACCACCAGTTCGGGCCCTTTACCGATCCTGTGGTCACGGTTGACTGGTCACGTTTGACTGAGTTTAAATCCGGAAAAATAGTTTCATTTCCTAACGTTATTCAATTTTTTGTCGAAAAAAATACACGTCTTCTTGAAATTTCGAAGTCAATACGCGGTAAAACGATTTTCATGTAACTTAAGACTCATTCATTTCGCGTTAACTGGAAAATGATATAAATATATATTTGAGTCAGACAAAGTCCATTAAATGAATTATTAAATCAAAAATTCAACCGCTTCAATAAATTATGTATATCCCAAGAATATAAATAATAGTTAATTGAATCACTTGTTTTTCAAAACGGAGTTGTTCCTAAATGTTTAAAAAAGCTAACTTTACTTCGAGAGTGTATTTCAAAGTAGGTACATCCTTTTCCGTCCTCTAAGCTTTTGCCTTAAAAAGGGTTTTTTTTCCATCTGGGCTTTGCCGTAATCGTGTTCCGAAACCAGTTTCAAAATGCAAGGAGTATTTCGCCTCCTTCGAAAAAATGGAATCTAGACCTAATCAACAGCGCACTGGAATGATTAAAGTGCCCCGAGTTCGTCGTTTTTCGTCGAATCACAGAGATAGTTTTCGCTAAATAAAGTTGTCAAAAAGAAGAATCACGTTCTGCATTACGATGTAGAGTTCGATGTATCAGTTGTAAATGGGTTTCATTAGGAATCGAATTGGGAACCGCATGTGAAGGTTCGTAATGCGTAATCGATCAGTGATCAGATATATAATTAATACAGATACGTTATAAAAATTATAACAAAGAAAAAACTGGAAAATACATTTAAGACTTTAGCGTTACGTTATAGTAAAGACAAAGATGCATGAAATGTCGATATGGCTATAGGTTCCACACAAATTTAATTCAAAATGTATTCCACAGCATTTAAGTTCATTTGAAGAGAGCAACCCCTAGAGTTTCTTGTTCATTATTCTACTGAGAAGAACTAACAAGAGTGACTTAAAAAATGACTTTTTCAAGTGTAAATTTATTTTACCTAGGCAATAAAATGGTTTTTTTTCCTTTGGCTTTGACTAAAATTTCAAAACGGGATAATTTGTTAGGATAATAGGTAGGCGTGCAAATACCTATTAAAATTGTTTGTTGAGTAATGCTGGTAAAAACCAAAATATTTAAAGGAACTCACTTGGCGGCCTTCAGCACGTAGTCTTCTGGAATGGCTTTGAAGTGCAGCATCTTGATGAGTATTTTAATTATTTCAAGTAAAAAAAAACTAATTTTTACGGACAAAAATTCCGAATAATACTTTCTGATTATTTAAAAAAAGACTAAAAAAATATATCGCGACTAAATTTTATCGAAATTACTGAAGCTAAATAAGAATATCAGCCATCTATAGTACCCAATTATGTTTAATCTATCACCCATTTAATAATTAGAAGTGTATTAACGCGCTGTCAAACGAGGAATGTTTGAGAAGTTGCTCGCGCGCAATTATATAGCGGGGGAGTGTTCGCACGGCGTCTCGTGATTCGTCGAAAACGCGGGTGTGTCGCTACGTCAAAAATACTCGCTATATCAAAACAAGGCAGATAAAAACAAGCCTGTTTTCTTGTTACTCGAATTAAGACTCACTGATAAGTGCAACTTGATTCTTATTTTCAAAACAGAATGGATGTTGTTCGCTTGTAATGGTGCGCATGAGTTACATCAGCGTATGGGCAAAGCTCAAGGCGTTGTTGCGTCAGACATCATTCCTCTAAGGGACATACCATTGCATACAAGTATTATGGTTAGTACTTTGCACTCCTTTCTAATTCCGCCCTTTACGTTTAGTGCGTCATTTGAGACCAGAGAGGATAGAATATTTATTACGAAACGTACTTCAACGTGCTCTACAATTCTGCTCTCCTCATCATAACTAACGTAACCGGTTTGATGAATTGAATTTGTTGACAGTTGTTGCTTGAAGGACCAAAATACGAGTAGTGAAGAACTTAATTTTGTTCTGAGAATAGGTGGCAATAATAAGAAAATATTGTTGTTGATGTCTTAAAATGATAGAGACAATTGTATGTTTCTTTTATCTTTATATTCATTTTCCAGTTTAGCCAACGATATACAAGTTTTATAAGTATTGTAAAATTTGTGGATTTAGTTAGATAAGTAATAATAATATTAATAAATATCGCGCAATAAACATAAAAAAGGCTTTCTGTGTATCAAACTGTAAGTTATAAATATACGAGTATGTTTTAAAACGATAAATATGTATATTATAATGGCCAGCATCAAACTGTTAATGTTTGAGGTGGACCACCATCAACATAAGTTTTGTGTATTTCTATTTTATACGTAAGAGGTGTGCCACGTGAAGAAATAATTGCCCGTGCTCCACTCAGGTGAATCAGGCAGGTGGTCCACGGTCAAGAAACGACTAAAATCGGCGTAGGTTTTTGACATTTGTCAAAGAACAGAATAACTATTTCAGGTGCCAATATCTCGAAAGTTACCAACGTACGAATGCGTTAGTTGTGACATGGAGAGTAGAATTCTAGTTACATTATGTGAGAAAATGTCTTGTACCTAAAATAATAAGCTTTATAAAAATATATCTTATCTAAGCAGGATACACAATTATATGTGACGTAAGTGCATTTTTCAAGATATATGGATATTGCAAAATGAAATGAGTGAGCACTTCCGTTGATAATTTTATAATAAGTACAATGTAGGTGTGTTTCAAGAAATGGCCATAGAAACGGTACGTCCTACAGTGTAACGAATATATGACATTGTCAATGTTGCGGGCCGTAAACGGGTGTGACTTGCGCAAGATTGTGCAGCAGCTTGATTTTGATTGCCTCTCCAGATCGGAGTCGAGGCGCATAATTGTGATTCACAACTAGTCGATCGGAAACTTTTGACATTTCAAATCAGAACAATATTGATTTAACCCACAAATTAGAAAGATATAGTAGGAATCAGGTTCATCTTCTCGCTCGGAAACCTATCTGATTTCAAGACTCGGATGGGCTACCCGATCGGATCGATTCCCATTTGAATTAAAATCAGCCTGCTGGTTGGCACTAACTACCGAAGCCGAGAAGTCGGGCTGTGGATTTTTTCTCATAGGAGCGATACTAAGGTATTACAATCTAGTTATAGCGAATTTCACTACGTTATATAACATCCTGGCCTCCTTAGATGCTGTTGCACATGCCTAATGCACACAACGTTAAGCCCGGAATCTATTGTCTTAACACCTCACTCCTACACATACTTCACTCCACACTTCATTATCACATGATAAATGTCTTCTGTTGTTGCCATATCTCAGTTTGGTGAAGGAACCTTTGACATCAGATATCTGAACTTGTTCTAAGGAAAGTACCCCGATGGAGGCTGATGACGCTTATTTGACATCGTGCCCTCGTTGTGATAAATAGTAGCAGTAGAGCTCCTTGCGAAAGAGTTTGTCCAGAGAAGTACTGCCACATTACTGCGTTCCGGTTTGTAAGGGTATAAGGGTCCTGGTGAAATTACAGGCACATGGGACTTGTCAACTTATGTCTCAGGGTGCCGGACGCAGTGGCAGTACCCCTGAGATCTTTGTGATTTGAAGGTCTGAGTGGCGCTACAACTGTTCGGGACAGGCGTGACGCTTACCACCAGGCACACGACGTGTTCGTCCCGTCACTTAGTATTATACAAAAAGCCACATGTGACCATAAGTCAAAAGTGTTGATCACATGAAAGTCGCAATACGAACTATATGAAACAACAGATTTCTATCAGATGGCGCTACGGCAAAAAAGTCGTTAAAATTAAAATCGAAGGAATTTTCTAAGTGTTATAACAAACTAGTGTAGTCATCACATTGGCAAAAATATCCAGCTTGGCAAGCACAACTTCGAGATGGAAGCCGACAGGAGAATTCGTTTGGGCTGAGCGGCATTTGAGAAGCTTAGCCACTCTTCCAAGCCAATAGCCGATCTTCAGGTCGTCAATTCTCACAAAGCCTAAAAACTAAGGCAATTAAACTGCGTTCTATCAGTTATATCCTACGCAGCCGAGACGTGGACATTAACAACAGGCCTCGTCCACAAATTCAAGGTCGCTCAGCTTGCGATGGAGTGAGCTATGCTTGGGATTTCTCTGATGGACTGAATCCCTAACGTCAGAGAACTAAAGTGGCCGACATAACTCGCAAAATCAGTAAGCTTAAGTGGCAGTGGGCCGGCCATGTCTGCAGGAGGGTTGATCGCCGATGAAACAGACTTATTCAGGAATGGCGACCACGTCAAGGAAAACGTGGTGTGAGACGCCCTGCGGCAAGATGGACGGACGACCTGAGCAAGGTGGCCGACAGTGGCTGGATGCGGGAGGCGCAAGACCGGGAAAGTTGACGTGCTCTAGGCGAGGCTTATATCCAGCAATGGATGCGTGTAAGCTGATGATGATAACTTTTTTATAAAAAGTTATTAATAATTTCAACAGATTTATATAATAATATTCGAAGTTCTTCGTGACGGTGGTGTAGTTAAATTGGATTATGTTCTGAAAAACAATGTGTCAATAAGGTCAGGCTGAAAATTAGTACACGTGGTATACAGCCACAAGGATTAAACTGAGCCTGCTCCTTCCACGCACTGTTGTTGTTCCAACAATATTGTTATATTATTATGTTCTGTTCGTATTACTGTGTGTGATAAATAAATAGTTAATGTTGCATACAGACTGATAACAATAGATTCCCTTAAATCCTTGCCACGACATTTACGCGGAAATGGAAATGCAAAATGGAAACTCATAATCAAATGCTAGTTACTCATTATCCCCGACGTTATGTGAAACTTGAATTATCCTATTGAAGCATAAAAAATTATCAATTACTTTCGTTCGTAGAATCTGTAAACCTCTCTTTTGAGGCAAGTGTCATTTTGCTCATGTGGCTTTATTAGACCACGGGTGCCGAATTTGAAAATCGTGTCATGAAACCTTTCCTATAATAAGTCCTTCTGGTGGAAGTGTCCAATAGTGTTCCGAACTTCGATTCGAGCCCACTAGCGCGCTATCAGACTCGCTGCTGCGCTTATTAGGGGTCAACACCCTCCAGTTCGCCCTTTTGTACGGCGACGCGGTCCACGATATCAGCGCACAATTGCTAAATATTATTCGAGAATATCACTTTCGGGATATTTCTTTTTATACGAAGTGGTTTTTACAGTGACAGATCGTTTAGAGGATTTTTTATCTGGTTATGAATGAGAATATAATAGATGGTGAATGTACCGATGTACTGTCAAACCAAAGCTAAAGTTTTCTTACACTTTGGCAGTCTAGATTTAAGTTCCCTTTGCACTATTTATTAATAAGAAAATAAAAAAAATGTAAACGTAAATAGTAAGCACAGTAAGCAAATAAACTTGCTAAACTCGTTAACTTGAAAACCTCTAGAAAATCATGGCTAAAAATTCGCATTATTTACAATTTTAGTGATCCTACTACTTTTGAATGAGCACTTCGAAAAATAAAATAGAAATACGCAAGAAACTTCAAGCAAACTGTTGGAGAAATTACAGACACGTGGGACTTTTCAACTTATGTCTCAGGGTGACAGGCGTAGTGACAGTGTCCCTCAGATCTTTGCTATTCAAAGCTCTTAGTGGCACTGCACCTGTTATGGACAGGCGGGTCGCTTAACACCAGGCGCACGACTTGTTCATCCCGTCACTTGGTGACATAAAAAAAAGCAGCTAGGCGTTACCATCTGATTATTTTCTCGTCATAAACGTTTATACAATAAATAAAAATAAGAAAAAATGTATGCACATGAAACAATGTAAAAAAACAAGCACTTAGAAACAATGTATATATGTATGTATACTTATCCATAATAAAGCCACACGTGATCATACGTCAAAAGTGTTCGATAACAAATTAGTGGAGTAATTTTACATAAAAAATAATTTAATATCAATTCAATAAAAATTTAAATACAATGAACAGCGACATCTCTAGCCAGGACCGGTAGCTGTCAAGGTATCTAACTGGGTGATGAAATACTTAAGATTTCTCATAGATGGCGCTACGATTAAAAAGTCGTTGAAAAAACCAAAGACAAAGACACGACAACAAACATATAGAAAAATTCGTGTGGTCCGCTGGATCGTTCCGTGGCTTAGTTGCTATGCAAGAAGACGTCGGTTTGAATCCGGCCGGATCGAAGGAATTTTTCGATCTTTGTATTAATAATTATAATTATTAATACAAAGATCTACTATACTTTATTTA